TATAGGAATGAATGAATGAAGACAAGAAACGGAGAGGGAAGTAGAAGCATAGAAGATAGCAGCATTCAATTATTTAAAATTAAATAAGATATGTTGTTTTATGAGTGAGGAGTTAATTTAGAGACCCCAAGGTACCTTGGTGTTCCTATGTAGCAGGCACTTATTACGGCAAGGATGACATGAGGAGCCACATTTAAAAGCAGCTGATTAAAACAGTGTCCAACATTGCTTTGAACCCAGAGAGGAAGTGGATCTATGGAACTAGTCCCACATAGATCAGCCAGAACCTCTTCCATCTTGCTTCCAAGAAAAAATATAAGTCAAGGAAAACAATTCCTAAAGAAAAAAAAGACCAAATAAACAAATCAATATTAAGCAAGCATTGTATTGTTTTAACTGTTGTTGGTTTTACGCCGCCTAGAGTCACATTCTGATGATGTGAGACTGATGAATTTGCTAAACAAATATAAACAAATGTAAACTTTGGGAGAAATGAAGGCTCTCCGCAAACCCTAAGGATTGATGCCCAGTTTGGTTTGATATTATACCCTTTAAGGAGTACAGTGACAGGTTTGTAGGGTTTGTAAGACAGATCAGAAAGCTGAAAAAAAAATATTTAGGAGGAAAATGGTAGCAAACCATATTGCTGTCAAGAGACCTACATAGACCAGACCCTCAAGCCACCAGGATCAAGGCTTCCCATCCACTAACTACCAGCTCAATGATAGCCTCCCCTGGATAGCTTTCTGGCATCAGCCAAAGTCGTTCTTAACAGGAGTCGTAAAAACGGTTTCTCCCCCCTCCGCTCTGCCGGCGGCTCATAAAATGCCTTAATCAGAATGCTTTTGCACGTTACAAATGCTGCTGCTTCGGCCCGAAGCAAACAGCCAGCTGTTAAAGGAGGGATTGCCAGGGAGACTTTGAGCTACCCTTAGGCAAAACTCCCACGAACCAAGAAATCGAAGCCACCCGTATATGCCCGGCACAAACACCTCACGCACACCTTCCGTGTTTATGGATCAGAGGATTCACCTCCCTTCATATCGCCCGCTTCATTCATAAGGGTGGGGGGAGAAAGCTGAGCCGGAATTAGAGAGCCGGATTTCTTTCCTAAACCTTAACACTGATCTTATAGAAGTTTCCTTTTGGGACGCAACTTCCGGATTTCTTTTGTTACCCTGTTTTGTTTGCGCGCTAGAGGATCGAAAGAACCAGCTGGTGACCGAGGCAAGGGGAAATCTAGGATTTTAACGAAGTAGAATTCCGCCGCTTCTGGGAAATCCTAACATGGTTTTTAGAAAACAAGATTTAACAAGGGAGGCCAGTTACGATTTGATATAGAATTGACTGGTTCAAATAAAAGTATGAGGTTACGCGTGGTTTCCTTGTGAAGAGATTTTCGGAGAGCAAATAGTTTTGTGCGGTCGGCTGTTTATTGTCAAAGCCAATGTTTCCCATGCTGTATGATTGTCTTATTTTATAGTGCTATGCTGACTGCAGAAAAAAAAAGTTAACCCATACAAGTGGACCTCATGTTACAGCGTATCTTATATCATCATTCTCATAATAGTGAATTTCTTGAATAACTTTCCACTGAACTGGAAATGATAGTTGTGTTATTCTACATTTTTTTATCTCTATGAATATTTTGTGCTCCAGATACTGTGGTATTTATTTTCCAGTCGAGCGGCCTCTGCTGTTTAGAATGATGCACTTTATATCAACATGAGAACAGATTGCATCAAATGTTCATTTACAGTACTGCACTTTCTGGATAGAGCAAGATTGAAAAATACTTAGCATACCTTTTTTAATTAAGATTGAAGAAGTTGCAACCCAAATAGTAAATTTAGGCCCCTGAAGGGATCCTAGTATTTAATTCTGAGTTATATTTCAATGTGATATAATGTGGAATTATCTGAGTTACTAACAATGTTAGTATTATAAATTAGTACTTATAGAGGCAAATTTAATATAAATTTAAATTAAAAAAATAACGCTTGGAAAGATAACTTGTGGACTGCAGGCAGTTATATAAAACCCTTTCTCATTTGCCAGGAAAGATTATTATGTAATGTAAAATTATGTCACTGAATTTTGGTAGAAACTGTACGTATGCAATATAATGTAATAAATATAAGAATATAGCGTAATATAATATAATCTTAGATTTACAAATTTGGGGATTATGAGGGACAATTTATAGTTACACTTTCCTATTCAAAACTCCAAAGTACTTCCATGGTGAAAGTATTAGCCAGTAACATCATCATTGCCTGAGGCACACTCAGCTGGGGGTTCCTTTTGTGTCCTGTTAAGTGGTACCCATTTATCTACTCGCAATCGCTCCTTTTCAAACTGCTGAGTTGTCAGAAGCTGGAGTGTGTGACAGGAGCTTACCTGTCCTGCAACAGCAATTTGGTCTTGAAAATGAGCCTGTTGATGGTTAGCTCAGCATCCTAACCTTGTGAGCCACCATGCTCCTAACTTATAGTAATACGTGTATTGAAATTGGCCACTTTTTTTAAAAAAAAAACTTTTATAGTTTATATTTCAAATATTTAATAATATTTAATATTTAATAACTCAAGGCAGTGAACATACCTAATATTCCTTCCTTCTTCCTCCTGTAAGCGTGAGCTGAATGAAAGTGACTGGTCCAAAGTCAGCTAGCAGCTTTCATGCCCCAAAGGCAATAGTGTCCTACTTTCTAATCTGGTGCCCTAACCACTATACCAGTGATGGCGAACCTTTTAGAGACCGAGTGCCCAAAAACCGCCCTCGCACCCCACTCAGCTCCCCTCCTTGCCCACTCCACCCGTTCCACTCCCGCTCCGCTCCGCCCTGTCCCACCCACCTGCAGGGCCACTCACCACCTCCATGGCCTGCTGCAGATTGCCCAGGCGGTCCAGCAGTGCCATGGCAGCCACGCCCTCTGCCCATGCCCCGCAGCATCAACTGCATGTGACATGCCACGAGGGCGGAGTCTTGTCCCCATTGCCTGACTGCCATGTCCTTGGCTGTGCTGCTCCGCGTGGGCCGCGCTCAGGGGCTACTCTCCAGGGGGGCTGCTGGTGAGGAGGGGGCCATGGGGGGAGGTGGGGCTGGGGCAACGGCACATGTGCCCACAGAGAAGGCTCCGAGTGGTGCCTCTGGCACGCGTGCCACAGGTTCGCCACTACTGCACTATACCAAACTGGCTCTATATAATTTCCTTTTGATTAATGAAGCACAGTTCACCAATTCCTATCTGCACCTGCAATCAGATTACAATTGATTAGAGCAAATGATACCTGTTCAGAAAAGATCCAGTGAACAACTGGACTTTTCCCCTTCTTTTTTTAAGCATGTTCACAGATTATTTTTTCTTCTTTTACTGGGTAAACACTCAGAGTTCCATCAGTTTTGTCTTCTAGCCCAAATGACAGGAAGATAGGTACACCAGTGGTGTTATTGTTCTTCATCAATCCACTTCTGGGTATACTGAACAGAATGTTTCATATATGAGAAAGTTGGAATGGGGGGGGGGTCACACAAAAAGCCTATCACTCGAAATTGTGTGTGGTCAGATTTCTTGCTTTCTCAGCATGAATAGGAGGTATAAAGAAGCAGAGGAAGCTATCAATTGGAGGGTTTCAGTAACCACTGACTGTTCAGCCAGAAGGCTTGACCAGCATAATTACCATAATTGCCAGGGCAAGCCACTAGAACAGTGGTTCTCAACCTGTGGGTCGGGACCCCATTTGGGGTCGAACGACCACTTCAAGGGGGTCGCCAAACAAAGCTGTCTGCCATTTTTTCCCCTTTTCTTTGGCCACGCCCCTGGCACCCGGTGATGTATAAGTGGTTGGGGACACCACAACATGGGGAACTGTATTATGGGGTCGCGGCATTAGAAAGGTTGAGAACCACTGCACTAGAATATAAAATGAGAACAAATCTCATTCTCCCCCTACTAATACTAGCACTGATGATATTATCTAGTTTGGTAATGAAAAGCCTGCAAGAAAACCGCCAAGGCTCAGAGAACATCAAGGATCCCACAGTTCAATCCTGGGCTACAAATACTCTCTTCTTTTGATAATTGCCCTAGCTTAGGGATAGGCAACCTTGGCTCTTTTATGACTTGTGAACTTCAACTCCCAGAATTCCTGAGTCAGCATGGCTGGTTCAAGAATTCTGGGTATTGAAGTCCATAAGTCATAAAAGAGCCAAGGTTCCCTACCCCTGCCCTAGCTGAAGAATGGATGGTAATTTGGACAGCAATGTCTCAATTCAACTTCAGCTCCAGCTATTATAGCAATAGGGAAAGCAATTTAAGGTGGCTGTGCAAAATAGCCCTTTGTATACCACATAGAGGGGCCTTGATAGATTGCCCACTCAAGTTTTTCAATTGCTAGTGGGAAATTTTGTTTACAGGAAAAATACAGGAAAGTGTTGTCAAATCTTAAAGTCTATCACATGGATTACAGTAAATATACATTTTCTACTGCAGACCAACAGAATTCACATTCGTTTATGCAGTTGAATTCTGCAAAACTGTTTCGGTGGATACTTGCATAGAGTTGAGAGACCCATTTGCAGGTGACAACATCGAGAAACAAACGTGGTTAGTTTCAAGTGGAAAATCTGCTTGCCTGCAGAATTTAACTTAAGCCCATTTCTATCCTCAGGAGTATCGTTTGCGATGTGGTTCTGAGGTTGGAAATACTACGATCTTCTACAGAGTGAGGGAGATGTTCTCTTTCGGAGGAAACAAATGGTGAGCGTCTCTCTCATTGCCCAAGCCAGGTGAGCGCCATTCATCCTCTTCAACCCACGGCACGTTTGGTTTGCAGATCTCGCGGCGCCTTCTTCACGCGACGCGCACTCTTTTCCCGCCATCTTGAAAGGACGCACGCAGAAAGCTTCCGGACCTTGGCACCCGGCGCGCATGCGCGTTCCGCGCGGGGTAGTCAAGCGAGAAAAGGGCGTAAAAAAGAGAGAGGGGCGAGAGGCCTCGGGGGCCTTTTATGCCGCCGCTGCCTGTGCATGATGTACCGTCCCGGTTGCGGCCGCTTGAACATGATTTCCTCCAGCCGGCCCAAAGACAGCAGTAGTTCAGGCTCCCGATGTTCCCGGTCCGGTGCTTCCACCACCCCCACCACCGGGTCAGCTCGAGGCCGTAGCCCGCGCCGCTCCCGTTCTCCATCTCCTCGGGGCCGCCGCCACCGCTCGCCATCCAGCGGTCGCTCTTCTCGTCGCTCACCATCCCCTCGTCGCAGTAGTAGGGTACGCTCTCCGTTAGGGGGGAGTCGAGGAAGTCCGAGGGGTATTGCCTGAATAGCGGCCATTTGAGGATTCGGCCTCGGAACACGCGCCCCGCATTCCCCCGTGGCTCCCCACGTCTGTGGTAATGGTTCCCTACCCGTCTGCTGTGAGGCTTTCACGCGTTCGCGTCTAGAGGATCCTTGATTTCTTTTATGTCCCGCTTCCCGCCCGCCAAGACTTATCTTAATATCCCATGTCCTTGGTTTGGGCTGAGCAATGATTGCAAGCTTGCGTGTAGCAAAGTAATTTCGCCACAGCAACAGCTTTAAAGCAAATCTGAAGGGGCTCTATGGAAACCAGGAAAAAGTGTCCGCGTGTTGCCAAGGAAGAAAAACAATCACGTTGCCGAAGTTCGCGCGGGCTGCTGAGTCAAAATACGCTTCGCTTAATTTGTGCCTTATCGCGTTGTGTTTATCAAGCCGTTGTGGTTTGTGCGGATGTGTTATGCGAATTCAGGCGATTAATAAAACTTAGCAATGGAAGCCATGACTTAAGTGTGTTGTATGAAGGCAGCTAAAAGTTGTTCTTTTCACCTCTAAATTGCTACTTTAGCTCAGTAAGGTTTACACAGTACTGCCAGACAGATGGGATTCCGAAGTAATTTCTACAAAACTATGTAATTTTTATTTCCCTTTGGGTTACTTTGTCTATTCTGTTCAGTATTGTTGCTACATGGCAGTTCTAAACTCTCAAAATCTTTAGTCTTTGGTATTTTATCTTTTTCTGTAAAGAAAACTGGACATATAGTGCAGTCAGAAATGTTAATTAAAACAATTTCTTGTATTAAATAGAACTCATTTTCTAATAAGAATTTTCTGGTTTCATTATGTGATATGTCTAGGCTCAGTGCAATATATAAACTCATTATTCAATACACTTTGCTTAAAATAAGTCAGTGTTTAACATGATTATGTAAGCATAATACTATACTGCCTTTGGCATATACTTCATTCTATTTTTTAATTTAACTTAAAATATGTCATTAGCAAAATGCTTAATAAGGACTGCTTAGAGGTTAGATATCAGTGTTTTGTAAATCACAGTTACAGAAAATGTTAGATTTTTCTATGGAAAATCTTTGATTTTATGGAAAAGAATATCTTCACAACCGTTTGCACAGACAGCTGTGAGGATAGACACTGAAATTAGGGAAAGCCATGTGTGCATGATATTTACTAAGAAATCACAGGTTCTGCAATTGTGTGCCACTTATGCATCACTAATGTGTGTGGCTCTTTACTGAGATTTTAGAGTCAGTGTTTTGTAGGGTTTGAAATAGTAATAATTTACTTTAATTTGGATGTTCTACTGCAGTGGTTCTCAACCTGTGGGTCGGGACCCCATTTGGGGTTGAACGACCATTTCATGGGGGTCGCCAAACAAGGCTGTCCGCCATTTTTTCCCCCTTTTCTTTGGCCACACCCCTGGCACCTGATGATGTATAAGTGGCTGAGGGTCATCACAACATGGGGAACTGTATTATGGGGTCGCGGCATTAGAAAGGTTGAGAACCACTGTTCTACTGAGATTGTAGATTATAAATACTTCTATGGCTTTATAAAGGAGAACTTAGTCATTTGTTCAGAAACCATAAAAGAAATTCAGTCTATATTCTAAGATGAGGCATTTTGTAATATGGTTTGATGTGTTTAAATCCATATTGTAGTTCAGATTGTGGGAAGAAAGGAATGCCTTATCCACAAGTTGTAATGTAAACATGATTTGTTTTTAATTGCACAAAACAAGGAAGAAAAGAGAGGTTTGCTTGCCAGCACAAAATGTTCTGATTTTCAAATTGTAAGCAAGAGGGAGTGATAAGTTGAGCATACTTTGTTTTGACACCTGAAGTGGATTTATTGTCTGAATACCATAAATAGACTATGATATTATGTAAAAGTAGTTAGGGTTAAAGTAGTTGTGTAATATTTTTTACCCCATACACATGTCTGATTTTCAGAGTCTGCTTGAACCATTCCCTGCAGGTTTTTTTTTGCAAACTTTTTCAAAAGTAGTTTGCCATTGCTTTCTTCTTAGGGCTGAGAGAAAATAACTGACTCAACTGGCTTTGTGCCTAAGGCAGGGCTAGAACTCAGTCTCCCAATTTCTAGTGAGATACCAGAACCACTACACCAAGCTGGTTCTCACTTTTATAATATATAGATCTGAATTACATACCTACTGTAATAAAATATTTGTTGGGATCTTACAAGAAAGAACCCAGAGAATAATGAACCTCATACTTCCTTTTGGGATCTCTTGAGTGTTCTTTCTTTCTTTTTTTCAACCAAATGAAAGATTCTTGCTTAAAGTCCAAAGTATCAGATGAATTCAGTGGAATTTCTTTTTGTATATCCAGTTGAAAATCAGTGATCCAAGTTATTGATAATCATTGTACCATCCATCCAAACTGAAACAGTAAAGTAAATCATAGGTAACACATTACACTAAGGCATCAAATGTCATTTACAACAGGGGTGTCAAACTGCTGACCTGCAGGCCGGATGCATCATAGCAAAACCGCCCCATTGCTGGCAATAGCAAAAAAGTTGCAATACGTCGCGACACATCACGTGACGTTGCGAGTTTGACACCCCTGATTTACAACACAGTGGCTGAATTTACACCATATGCTAAACCAACCATATAACTCAGCATAATACAAGAATCCAGATAAGATTTTATTTATTTACATTATTTCTGTATAGCCATGTTCTAGAAAAAAATGGAATGTTTTAAAAGCAGGACTGAAAAATCCAGTGATAACTAGCATTCCATCTAACTCAAAATTTAAAAATATACTAGCTACAAGAGAAGGGGCATAAATCTATTTTCAGTAATATTAAAGAGTTAAAACAGCTAGGTTTGTAATCCTAACTATGATAGTGCATTACACAAATGTATTGAATTGGTGATATTTATGAATTCGTACTCGGATTAATGATAAGCTTATGTAGATTAATGAATATTTCTGAAGCAATGTGCACTTTTTTCTTGTTACAACCTTGTTAATTGTCCACCTGCCTTCAACCACATCCATTGCAGTTTTTCCATTTGGGGTTTTACTATATACTTATGCTCAATGTATCTTTAGATTTTGCTTCTGTCACTAAATTATAATACTGAGGCTGTACAACTCATCTTATAAATTAGGATCTCAGGAAAGATAAAGGTTTCCCCTGTCCAGTCATTTTCGACTCTAGGAGATAGTGCATATCTCTGTTTCTTAGCTGAGGAGCCAGCGTTGTCTGAAGACACTTTCCATGATCACGTGCCCAACATGACTATATGCTGAGGTGCACGAAATGCTGTTACCTTCTCACCAAAGTAGTACCTATTTATCTACTTGCATTTGCATGCTTTTGAATTGTTAGGTAGGCAGGAGTTGCGGCAAGTAACAGGTGCTCAGCGCATCACACAGCCCTCAGGTCTCGAACTGGGCTTTAACTGCTAGGATTTCAGTACATAAGACTAATCAAGCTTCCTTGAAAATAGTTTAAAAGATTTACATTATGCAGATATAGTTACAGAAAATATCCAGGGGATTATTTTCTAGATAAACCATAGGATTAATATCAATTTTTCATTCATTTCATATTCAATATGTGTTTTTCCTGCATATAATTACCTGTTTTTTCTTTTAAAAAGTATTTCTGAATAACTTTCCAAAGCCATAGTGCTCCCAAGGTAGGTTTTAATATATACATTAATCAACTCATGTTACATATACAGTAGTTGTTTTAAATAACATTTTTGACAACAGATTATAGCTTCAAAATGCCTCTAGAAAGTAGCAACTATAGTGGTCCAGTAAGCATTGCTTTTAACAACATTAATTATATTAATATTTGTGGATTTACATGCTTGCATGCATAGGCAGAAATACTTTATTCATTTTAAAGAAAATATAAAATTGTTTTCTTAATTTAAAACTTATTCAGTGCATGTATAAAACAGGACATCAAATAAGATAAATCGGATTATGCCTATACCATTTTCTATGGGATGCAGTACTCTGTTGGTCCACATTTTACACATCTTTCTAATTTGTCATCTTGTTAACTAGAAATATTTTTCTAAAGAATTAAGTTCTTTGTTTGTATGATCAAATTCAGACTATATTTTTTAAAAATTAAATATTTTGAGTAAAACATAATCATTTTTGACTCCTTATAAAAAGGATTCCAGTTGGTCAAAGAATATGACTGCTTTGTCCAATGAAGCTGGTTTTCCTGAAAATTTTGAAAAGGAATTTTCTGAAATAATCTGCATATTTTCTGATTTCCTAGGAAATGATCTAATTGAACCTGTTTATTTTAATAAAGCTTTATAATGCAGCTTGTATTTTTATAATTTGTGATAATGCAGCGCAAACATTTTATCTGGAATACTTGAGGGAAAAATGAAAGGACTCGGTGTGATAAGTATATTGTTGATTTTTTTAAAATGTAAGCATTTAAAGACATCATTTTTCTGTTCATCAGAGTTAAGTCATTTTGCAGTGAGATTGTGTTGAGACTTAGTGTCCTTATCATTATTTTTTAGATCCATTTCATAAAGAGGTAAATCTGAATCAGAATTACTGGATTGATGTTTTACTGTATTTCTCAGTTTTTTTATACTGTCCCCATTCTTCCTACAGTATTTACAGTTTTCTTTGCTCCTTCAATGGCTTTATTATAGTGATTCATTACAATGTTTTCCCACAAAAGGCATTATTATGACTCAGAAGGTATCAAAATACACTAAAACATCTAACTTATTTCACAGTTTCACTTTCCCTGTTTTAAAGGGAAGAAAGTTAACGCTGCTCATGTATTTGCTGAAAATGAAATAATCATAATTTTGTTTTTATTTTTACTTTGGTTTTACTCTGTTAGAGAGAGAGGGAGAGAAATAGAGAGATAATCAAGGGCCAAATTTGCTTAACTCTATATTTATAATGGCATCTATCTATTGTAAAAAAATTATGAAATATATGTATTTTCTGCATATAACTGAGGCACTAAGTAATTTTCTGTGGAAAAATTGACTCTATTATGTATCTGAAGTTGAAATATTGAATTTAGTTATTGCTTGGGTTGTGGATTTTGTGTATCTTTTGTATGCATTTAGTACTGTAGTGATTTTAGTATGCATGGAATCTACCTAGGGAATAGAAACAGAACTATTGATACAATAATGCCTTTATACAGGTAGTTTCAATTTACTTCAACTCATTTGGTGACGAGAAATTACAATAGCACTGAAAAAAAGTGACTTATGACCGCTTTTCACACTTACGACCTTTGCAGCATCTCCATGGTCATGTGATCAAAATTCGGGTGCTTGATAATCAGCATATATTTATGACAATTGCAGTGTCCTAGTGTCATATGTTTACCTTTTGTAATCTTCCTAGCCAGCTTCTGATAAGAAAGTCAATGGGGGTAGACAGATGCACTTAATTACTGCATTAAACTTCAGTGATTCGTTTAATAACTCTGAGAAAAAAAGGTCATAAAATGAGATAAATCTTACTTAACAACTGCCTAATGGAAATTTTGGGTTCAGTTGTGGTCGTGAGTTGAGTACTACCAGTATGTGGTGATTACTGTGTACAGTTCCTGTATGTTAAGGATATTCTAGAATTACAAAACATACAGAAAGTAGCATCCAAAATAACTTCAGGGAAGAATAGGTTCCCTACAAGAAGAATCTGGAGAGGAAATATTACATACAGTACATAAAATCTTGCATGATGTAGACTCCTCCAGAGTCGCTGCAACAGTGAGATAGATGAGAAACAGACCAGGCACACAGACAGACAAATGAAAACAAAAGTTATACTCCCTCACTCAAAATGTTAAGACTCCATTGAAACCAGAAGGGTATTTAGGAAAGCTGTCCTTGAAGAAGAAACTGTTTTTTGCACAATGCACTTTTAATCTCTGCTACCAACAGATATGACAGATGTTTTGAAAGGGCGCTGTCAGCTTCATGTAACATCAGGGTTTTTGTTATGGTTACAAATAATTTTTGGCTCTTTGCTATCTACAGGATGCCTTAAATATTGTGGCTGGGAAACCACAGTAAAAATTTAATGTATATATAATGAATACATATCATATAACACCCCTTCATGTCTATAGATTAATGTGTTGAGAAAGGAAATGTGAAGAAAAGACAGGTTAGATTAAAAAAAACAATACTTATTTCAGTTTCAACATTGGATATTAATAAATTATGTTTAAAGTTATATTTATTAGAGATTGTTTTCTTAGAAATGGAATATTAAGTAAATTATAGTGTTTTCACAATGAAACATTTTCTGCCTCACATCACTGCTGCAAATATAAAATGGGAAGTTATATTTTTCAAAACATTATTTAAAAATTATTTCTATTTTATTTGCCTCCTCCATACTATCCATTCAGTTTGGGTACTTAAAAATAAAGCAGTTGACAACTGAAAACTCAACACCGCCTCCAAGTCAGCATAATATATCTAAAATATAGTTAATCACTGCCAGTTGAAATGGTCACTTAAGAATGAGAGCCTTCAAAACTGCCTGGAATGCTTTAATCTTTATAAATGGCTTATAGCACTTGAAGATACAGGTAGTTCTTGACTTACAACTGTTTGTTTAGTGACCGTTCAAAGTTACAATGATACTGAAAAAGTGATTTATGACTATTTTTCACACTTATAACAACTGCAGCATCCCCAAGGTCACATGTTGATCAAAATTCAGACACTTGGCAATTGACTTATATTTATGATGATTGCAATGTACCAAGGTCAGGTGATCACCTTTTGCGACCTTTGAGTCCGTATTGACTCCTAGCAACTGCCTGGACAAATCTCTGCAGTTTTCTTGACGGTTTCTTGGAAGTGGTTTGCTACTGCTTCATACCTAGGGTTAAGAAAGACTGACTAAAACTTACAGTTTCCAGCTTGGTCCCTTAATCACTACACCAAACTTAATTGCAATAATATTATATACTCTGGTTATATTTTGATTTTTTTTTTTGATAACATAGCCTATATGATAGAATCATACTTTTCTTTAATTACAGAGACATTCCCCAGGTCAATGTTCACGTTCCCCAGGTCGGCGCTCACGTTCCCCAGGTCGACACTCACGTTCCCCAGGTCGACACGCACGTTCTCCAGGTCAACACTCACGTTCTCCAGGTCGGCGTTCTAGAAGTCAACACTCTGAATCTTCAGTGGAACAGAATTTGCGGATCACTGTTGGCAATGATCGTTATGGTATTGATACACCTGAAAGAAAGAGGTTATGTGATAGGCTGGGCTCACCGGTTGACAGCCTGAGTGATGTGGATAGGTAGGTTTATCACAATTATGTTTCTTCATGCTTTTCCATGCTTGGTATAAAACACCACAATCTTATAAGATGTAATAAAAAAATAACATTTGCCAAGCAATATTGCGAATTCCAGATCTAGGAGAGAATATTTAGTATACTTTCTAAAACTGATTCCAAAATGAATAGGACAACTCATTCATATAACAAAAGTGATATAAGTAATAGTAGTACTGTTAATAGTACAGTAATGTAGTATTTCAATAAATTTCAATAAATTTAAAAAGAATTTAATAAAAGAACACGTGTTAGTATTATAATCAGTCGTTTGACAAAGTCCGAAAGAAAATAATATTAGTATAATATCAATATTGAGATTTTCATTAAAGATAGATTTGTCCCTTTTTTGTATATTAATCAAATAATGAAAGCAAATGTTCTGTGCTATGAGTATTATAGTATATATTCACATTAATGTTATTGGAATGTGTTAATACCAGTCATATTAAATATATGGAACAAGTTATCAGTTATGTATAATGTACATTTTGGGGTTGATGGGTATATTTGGAACTTTGATAGTTTATTAAGAATGCTCAGTGGGAGATGGTGCTTGACTGTTCACAATATAATGGTTTAAATCTATCCTGGATGATTGAGTCTTCACTTGCATATTGCTTTTCATTTTGGGGAGAAATTCCCTGCAGTCTATCTAGCAAGAGTTGGTTTATTCCAATGACTCTTTGATTCTCTGCCTACCCAGATTTTTATTTTGATTGAAGAAGTTACTTGAATGAGTAACAAAACATCTCAGTTTTAATAAACTTTGGTCCAGTTGCCATGATTTAACCTTTTTGGATTATTACTAAAAAGCAAATGGCGAAGATGGTCCCTACCATTCCCAGCTTATGGTTGTCTTTTATGTGGCAGATGTGCAAATAAAGCACTGGGCTGCTGTTGGGTTCCATTTTTATTTTCCAAAACTGAAAATAAATTTTCATTTAATAAATAAATATTCATTATAAATATTGATTTCATTTATTTTATTTTTTTATTTCATTTCATAATTTTCCAAGTAGAAAGCAATAGATTGTAAATAGCATTTATTTAAATAGCATCTATGTAAATAGCTAAAATGCATTGAAAATATTTCTGTATTTTGATGAATGAGCAAAATTATTTGTTGGTGGAACTCGTTCTTCATCTTTAATCAACAGTATTGTTATGAAATGTGTTGTTTTTATCAAGTGGATCCTTCTCTAAGAAATAAGCAATAAGAGCAGATGTGGAACTGAAACCATTTTTTTTTTTAACTTGACAAGATGGGGAGAAAAATGAAGAAGTACTCTTAATGAATTTCCTGTCTCCTGGTGAAGGTTTAGTAATTAAAGTCTACTAAATTTACAGATGCAAAATCCTATCTAGAAAATAGATTACAGTTCAACAGAATTCAAACATCCTGTTTTTGTAAACCAATATATGGGCTGTGTTTCATCTGCAGATGGTTTTTACTATTAGCAATTTTCTATTTGCAATAAGATTATAGATAAAGGGATGTGCAAAATATATTCAGAAAAAAAATCTTTTGAATAGCATGAATCTGTGATATAATGGTAAAATATTTCCTTTTGAACACTGAATAACATGATGCTTTTGCAATGAAAGTTGCTTGGTGATCTCTGATCAAATGCACGTTCAAATAGAATGGTCATTTAACATATTTCAGTGCTGAAAATGAAAATCCCTTATTCCTGGGGAAGGTTTTATTTCTAATCAAAAGTGTTGATTTAAAAAAAAAAACATGCAGGTAGTCCTTAACCTATGACCACAATTGAGCCACAAATTTATGTTGCTATGCAAGCCAGTTGTTAAATGAGTTTTGCTCCATCTTATGACCTTTCTAGCCAGAGATGTTAAGTGAATCACTGCAGTTGTTAAGTTAGTAACACGGTTGTTAAGTGAAGTTGACTTTCCCATTGACTTTATTTGTCAGAAGGTAGCAAAAGGTGATCACATGACCTCAGGACGCTGCAAAACTGTCATAAATATGAACCAGTTGCCAAACATCCAAATTCTGACCACAAAACCATGGGGATGCTGCAGTGGTCATAAGTCACAAACGGTATTGTAACTTTGAAAGGTCACTAAACAAATTGTTGCAAGTTGAGGACTACCTGTACATTACAGGTAGTCCTTGGCTTACAACCACAATTGGAATGGAATTTCTATTGTAAGTCATGGTCATAAGTTGAATCAATATATGACAATTTTTATGGTGGCTGTTAAGTGAATCACCTCAGTTGCTAACTGAATCACATAGTTAATAAGTGAACCTAGCAAATAACCCAGGTTTTTTTTGCCAAAAAAAGTTGCAACCAGTTGTAAATATAAATGCCAGTTGCCAGACCCCTGAATTGTGATCATATGACCATGGGGCTGGTGTGACAGTTGTAAGTGTGAATACAGGTCATAAGGTCCGTTTTTCTGAGCCCATTGTAAATTTGAACCAGTGGTCATAAGTCAAGGACCTGTAAAAGTATAAAGTGAGAAAATATAAGATACAAAAATTAAGCAAAACTTAGAAAAACTAGATTAAAAATAAGCTATAACTGAGAATTCAGTACCATGTTACAATATTATAGGTTCCTATTCAAGGCATGAATGAATTAGTCATATTTTTGCTTGTTTTTTTCAAAATGGTCAGCATATTGCATCCAGTGAGCATGTTCTGCACCATTGTGCTATTCAATAGGGTATTTTTTTTCTTATTTTATACTGAGACAATCTTTTGATTTTCTTAAACCTGCTGATATTAACACATCTGCATACTGTAATGATCCATGTGGGAAAATATTTTTACTAAGTAGCATATTTCTATTGGATGCCATTGGAATTATATTATTCTAAAGGAATTTTAATGTTGTTAACAATAAGGGATACAAATTGCAAATGTTTACCAACTGTAATTCTAAAAGGCTGTTTTTTAAAAAAAATATTGTGGCTTCGGTGGAGACTATAACAGTTGGAGTTGCTCCAGCTAAAAGAAAATTTATTCATTAAACTTACTTACGTAATAGGTGAGATGAGCGGTGTAGAAATTTATAAATAAATACAAATAATGAAGAACAAGTATGAAAAATCAATTAAAAAGAATATAATACAAATGTAATACAAATAAAAATAAAACAAAGTCTGGAAAAGAAAAAGTCCATATAATTAGAGATCTGGTAATAAAATATTTCCCCTCTAATTGAGATAGGAGCTAATTAAGAGCCACTGTATTCATAATGTTTGAATTTTGTTCCTGCAGCATCTACCTGTAGGTGAATAACATCTACCTGTAGGTGGGATTAAATTCTATTGACATGTTAAAATGAAAGTGTATGCTATCACAGCAGGGGCAATAGAAGAAAATGTGGGCAAGGATTTCTACAAAAGAGATTTACTGATACATCTCAGTATTGCTGTGGGAAAGATGCCAAAGCAGTAGGGTAGCTCTGTAGTGTGTAGAAAGGTGAGATTAAATAGCTACTTAGCAGTTATGATTGGATTTTGATTAAAAACTGTCAGTAAGAATTCCCCATAGCTCCCAAATCTATCTGCTGTATTATATCGAAAAGTAGCTGGCAAATTTCTCCTTTGGCTCCCTTTGAACTTAAAAAGCACATATACTAGGGAGAGAGATCAAATATAGGTTGATAGAATTTTTTTTCTTTCATTGTGAAGGGGAGTTGTTGGAAAGAAATAATGTAGCCAGTGAACAGTTAGTATAAGAAGAACTTAAGTCAGTAAGGCAGGCAACAAATGCAGGCTCAAAAGTCCTATGTTTGATAAATCAATGCAGAATGAATAATAGAATGCCACTGCTATTTTTATCCATATTCTCTGACTTCTAGCATGTGATGATAAAACCTCAGTGGTTTGTTATGGCATAGGATGGACTAATTTAAATTAAAGGTGATTCTAAATCAAGAGAAAAAACAGATTAAATGAATTTTTCCATTAATTGTGAAACAATGGTACATGTCAAACAAGTACACTGCTATATCATTCTTCAAGTGAAAGTATATAAAATGGCTTTAAGAGGTAGACATGATGAAGTGTGGCTGTTCAGCATAAACTGAAATTTCAGTATTATATCTGGCAAAAGGACTATCATTTTTATTTTTCTGCTAATAAGTTTTTGAAAATCAAGATATTGTGGTGCACACTTTATATAAGACCTAACCCCACCTTGAAATGTAAGCGATGTCTAGTGGATGGAATAACACCCACCAATGGTTTTCCTTCTCTCCTTCTCTTGACAAATCTGCTTTAATGGCTGATGGACACTCCAGAACAGATTAAGAGAAAACAAAAGGTATAGATGGGAGGAGAGCAATAAAATAACCTGAATTGAATACAGAATTGGATTTGAAGGTTATGCTTATGTTTTACCATTCCTCTGTTCATTAATAAATTAGTTTAGAAGTTATTTAATTGAGAACAAAATATTTTGGTTCGTGATAGGAAATGAATCTGTTGCGAAAGTTATATAACTTTTGGAATTGACTGCATTCGGTTGAAAGGAAAAATAATAATTATGCGCAAGCAGGCTGCTTTTCAATATATCTGTTCAACTGACACTATCAACTGAATGATGTTATAATTTGTGTATCTCTCTAATCAGGGATGATTTGGCTGATGGACCAATATTTAGCAGAAGCCTTTTACATCGTCGGAGCCTTGAGAGATATCCTTCTCGTGAGGAAAATCAGGCTAGTCCTTTCAGTAGGAGACATGATGAGGACTATCACAATAGGGATGTTTTCCTCCATCAATCAGACTATAGAATGAACTATGAGGATAAACCAAGAGAAACTGATAGGGAAGGTGAACTTAGAAAATCCTTATATGCATTGGACGATAGAGGGCGGGAGCCAAAAAGACCTCGATATGACAGAGATGACAGATTACTTGATATGAACATGGAACCACAGGGTTTCTTGTCAGGAACACGAAAGTACCGTAAACGAAGTTTTAGTAGAAGTCCAAGTCCAACATATCTCAATGAAGATTTTCGCGAACTTGAAAGTGCTAGAAGGAAAAGAAAAGAAGAAGAACTGAGCAGAAATCTGAGTCATGAACTATCTGGCAATAGTTACGTAATGACTGGTTCAACTAATCCAACGAAATCTTCAGAACCTCAGTACCTTTATAGACCTGATGAGGCACCAGCAATGCCCAAAAAATCCATCTTGAAGAAACGTGTGGATGATCATTCTGTGCAGGTTTGACACCACTCCACTCCATTTTTGTTACTGTCAATTGTAATTTTTTTTGTTTTTTTAAAAAAATCTCTTTATGCTTAATTTCAACTGTTAGTTTATGGGCATATTTCTCTAAAATGCCATTGAAGATTGCTGATTTAGGGTGAATCCTTTATAATTATCAACTTGATTTCATTTGATCTAAATGAGGACCCTTTACTTGTGTTAAAATTTAGGGCATCAGCAGGCTGTAAGTCTTTCTTTAAGCAATTATGGTCATCCTAGAGAAGTATTTCTAAATTTTAGAACTTAAAAAATATATTATTTTTTAATGGCTACAAGTTCAGTTTCAATATGCTTAGGGATATTGGGGAAATGTCTTTGTTAGCCTTACAAAATTCCCAGAAAAAATATGCAAGCTTTTAAGATTCCTTGTTTACAAAAAAGTTGAATGAAGGAAAATACCCATCTAAATTTTTACTCAACTCCTACAAGATGAAAAGTGGGAACTCTAACCCCACATACTATCCAAACATATGTTTAAAAATACACAATTCACTAAACACAAAAAGTTTTTTTAATGATGATAGAAATATATATTAATAGATTTATCAAATAATATATATGTAAAGTATATATTTCAAAGAAGGTTGTATTGTTGACTTAATTTGTATAATTCAAAATGTACAATTGATTACTTTTGAAATTCGTAAAACTATCATAAGGAATTGATAAGCTGGTGTGCAGTAAACCAGGTTGTGCAGCCTTTTCCAGACTAATAGTCTCATGTAATTGTTAAGTGGCATGCCAAGAGGAGCACTCCAAAAAGTTGGTGGGCCAGGCTGAAGATGTATACAGGACTAGAACAAATTCTAGACGTCATTTGTGTGTTATGTTATTTTCCTAAATAGATGGCATAGTGGATTGGTCTTAGAGTCAGAGTTTTTGGTTCTTGCAAAAAAATAATAATAATTTTTTCCCCCAAAGCTTTGCCAAGGATTCTATTGCTTCCTTTTTACTTTTTCCCTGTCCTCTTTGTTTTGGTGAGATAAGCCCTTTCTAACCACTATAATCACCATAGAAGGAGTAATCACTGCTAGGGTTTTTCCCCCAATTGTTTTCCCCTCAGCAGTCCTTTATTCTAGCTACAGCAACACTGGAAATGTCAAGTTTCTGAATGCTATATCTGTGTTCGGAAGTGATATTTTTGAGGGCTATCGTCTTCAAGGAACTCTCACACTTAGAACTTTGTCTTCAAAGAAAAACCTTTCTGTAATAACTTCTGTTCTTTGCCCAGATCCAGTGTTCATTCTAAAAACCAGTTAACATCTTTCACCAAAGTCAGGAGCTGTGATTAACCATCTTTTTGACCCAAACCTCCTGAAGGAGCCTTCCGGGAGGAGGAATGACTTTTTGAAGGTGTGAGGATCTACTAAGAACTATTTCCCAACAGCATTGGATTACTGCTTTGTGTCATTTTAAGAGTCTGTGTTAAGTTGCAAGATTTCTATTGCAACCATATCCAGATAGGTCTCTGTACATGACTTTGGCTTAGGAGTGTCAGTGTATTGCTCTTTTGAGGAGCTAATAGCACACTCAACTATGAATGCAACAGTTTCATCTGTATTTTCATCTGTATTTTCTCCAAGGAGAGACATGCACATAGTTCTGTTTCCTGATTTTTGAGACACTGCAAACTGAATGTTCAAATTTCTGCTTCCTTTGGCAAATGTATCTTTCAGTCTCTATCTGATTGCATTCTGCATATTCCTGCACAGTAAGATTATTTTGGTATGTCCCACTATAGGTGCCTTTCTTCACTGTTGGAAATGTAGCACGGGATTTACTGTGAAGGTACATTTTCTATAGTGGAGAGAGGGAAAGTGGCCTTCCTGTATTTATGTTTCCTTGGGCAAGGATTTGTTTTCTGTTCTTCCCATTTTTCCCTTTTCACTTTATCCTTGGATATTTTTAACTAACTGGATGTTGGAGCTTTCTTCTGTTGATATTCTGAAAATGCAGAGATGGGCTTTCTATCTATAAAAGAGAATATTTATAACTCCAGGTTGAAATGAGGAGTCCTTGGTGCTCTCTGAGCTTGCTTGTTTTCTTGCAGATATTTCATTACCCAAACTAGGTAACATCATCAGTGCTAGTGACTAGCACTAATGATGTTCACCTACAGTAGTGGCCAACCTTTTGGGAAAAGTGTACATTTGAGGTTTGATAGCTAATAACACCACTTTTCTTTGGAGTAGTACTATAAAATTTCCATCATAGACCTTCATAGGATGCCCCATATTATATTTTCTTATTCTGCCACATTAAGTATTATATCCAGATATGCAACTTTGCAGAGGCTGAACTAATCTAGGATTCAGATTATATATTCTGCAAAAAAATTAATAATTATGCAAAAATGAAAAGAAAAATGAAGGCTGTTGTCCTATATTCTAATTAAAATGAATATTATCTATAGATTCATGTAATATTATATAATTAATTTACTAACAAGTACATGACTTAACAATAAAACATAGAAAACTAAACATATTAATATGTGCAGTCCAGAATTTTGATTGGTTTGCCATGTGATTCTCTGCAATTAAATTATTAAATATACAAAGAGCAAATTATCTATACACAAATATACGCAAATGTTAGTTTGTAACATAAAGTTGTGGTTAATCAGGCTTAAGTGGTAAACTGATTAGTGATTTATATTGGCCTTCAGATCAGAGTGTCAAGGCTAAGGAAGAAGAAGGAGAAGGAGAAAATTGGGGAAGAAGATCTTGTATTGATTTGCTTTAGTCTTACAGGATACACTAAAATAGGTCATGGTGAAGAAAAGGAAGAAAATACTTATTGGGAGGCAGCCACTATTGAGGTCTAAATGTTTTATGTATAAGTTTTCTATTTCCTTAGGTCTTCTTCCAGAACTGTATTGTCATCCTGAAATTATCCAGAAATGGAGTATGAATTTATGGATATAATAGAGTGGCAAACAAGAAAGCTATGTTCTTTCTATTAGCTTAGCAGAGAGATTGCACTTAAAAGGCTGGGCTTGGTTGAAAAAGCTGCTTTAAAAGGTAGCCTTTTCATCATGGTCTGATAAGTTTTAAAGAAGTGAAGGTTATACCTTGTAGGGACCGAATTACTAGAAGCTAAGACAGATTTAGAAAGATATTTTTCCAAAGATCCAGTCTGGTTCTTCTATATGGTAGAGTCCTCCAACAGTCATTTGTTGTCATGATCATTCATTCATTCATTCATTCATTCATTCATTCATTCATTCATTCATTCATAGTATATGGCTGCCCATCTCAAAATATGGCCAACAAAAACAAAAACATAATATAAATGTAACACATTTTAAATTAATATCTATCTCAGTGTGTCATGATTTGTTCTAGATTGATCAGACTGATCCACTTTCATGACTCTACATTAGATATATTGCAAGTGGTAATTTCTTGGAACTTTTCTTCCCCATTGTAATAAAATTTATGGAAGCGTGAAGACATTTCCTCTTGAATTCACTTGTTCAGTTATTCACTTTCATAAAGAATGTCCTGAGAATCAGGGCTGTTCCCAGCCTTTCTTCTGGTCCTTCTCAGTTGGTCTGCATTACCTAGAATATACAAGTATCTAAACAAATTCTAATTCAAGGGTTGTGATTGTGGGACAAACATTTTCTATCCTCTACAATGAAGGAGATTATAGATCAGGGGTGTCAAACTTGCAATGTGACGTGACATGACGTGACGCAATGTATCATGATTTTTTTTCCATTGCCGGTAATGGGATGGGTGCGGTTTTGGCATGATGCATCCGGTCTGTGGGCCGGCAGTTTGACACCCCTGTTATAAATATTCAGTATAGCCTGTTCAAGAACACCTGCTGTTGTGTTGGTTTCAGGTTAATTTTATGTCTTTTAAAATTATAAAATATTTAAATTTATCCTTATTTTTAGGCAGAATCCACAGGCTCCTTGATAAAGTACAACAGAGAAAGAAAGATTAAATTTGGTCTTAATTTTAGATTGCATATTTGAGAAAGAAATCATGTAGTCTTTGATTTATGACACAATTGGGACTGGAATTTCCATTGTAACTCCTGGTTGTAAGTCAAGTTGGACCTGATTTTACGACAATTTTTATGATAGTTGTTAAACAAATCAAAGCACTTCCTAAACAAATCATATGGTCTTAAGCAAATCACATAGATATTAAGTAAATACAGCTTCTCCAATGGGTGTTTTTTGCCCAAAACTGACAAAAAAATGTTGCAAATGGCAATCACGTGACCACTTGCCAAGAACTTGAATTGTGATCATGTGACCCTGGGGATGGTCCAACAGCACAAGTGTGAGTACAGGTAGTAAATCACTTTTTTTCCAAGGTTGTAATTTTGAACAGTCATTAAATGAACGGTTGTAAGTCAAGAACTACTTGTGTAAGCCAAATTAAATAATGTTAATTATTAAACTGAGGGTCTGTTTATTCTACAAACAGACATAAAACTCTGCCAAAAGAAATCTACGTTACTGATAATAATGAACATATGATAAAAACTAAACATTGCCTCTTAATGTTTAGAGAACAAAATAATAGTAGATATTTATTTTTATTTGATTATGAAAATTTATATGTCTGCCCAATTCATTCTCAGTGACTGAGTGGCTTACAAGGATAAAATCCCAATACAAAAACAATACAAAAAGCAATAACCCCCTCCCCCTGGCAACAGCAATCAAATGAGCCACTTAATGGGCCCCATATCTTTCTGGGGTTCCCAGGCCCATTGGCAGAACCATGTCTTCAGAGCCTTGTGAAAGAGTGTCAAAGTGGGGCCAATCTTATCTTAGCAGGTATATTACTATATTGAGGTCTTTTTTGCAATTGTATCTTTGGTTTTGATTTTGAAATGCAAATTTAGTATTAGTATTCCTCCTTTGCTATTCCTTTGACATGAGCTTTTCTCCTTTTTTTTTAAAAAAAAATATTGTTAGGGCAGTGATGGCGAACCTTTTAGAGACCGAGTGCCGAAATTACAACCCAAAACCCACTTATGCATCGTCAGGTGTTGGGTGGGTGTGGCCCATTGGCTGGGTGTGGCCCATTGGCTGAGCATGGCTGTGGTGGTAACGGCAGACTGGGTGTGACTAAAAAGTTCAATCAATCAATTCCAACTATGCAAGATTTTTTTTCCCGTGAGAAGTTGAAATTGATTGATTGAACCTTTTTTTTTTTTTTTTTTTTTGCACACAGCGTTGGAAGCCTAAAGCGAAAAGGTTTTATAAAACCCAGCTGAAGGCCTAGGTCTGGGGCAACAGCGCGCATGCCCACAGAGAGGGCTCTGAATGCCGCCTCTGGCACCCATGCCATAGGTTCGCCACCACTATGTTAGGGGATCCCAAATAATTGAGGATGAAGGTATAAGCATGAGGATCACTAAGCCAATTAAAATAGACTTTGTGTAAGTGTTATTGAGGGCAACTCGACCCTTTCACTTGTCTTACATGGGAGAGAGATGATGATTACCAAGACAGTTAAAATGACACTATTTTTCTTGTATTATCAGTTTTATTTCTCAGCAGCACAACAATGAAAATTGATTGGACTGCATTGGAGCATGTTCCCATTATTCATCTGATACTTACCATTTTTTGCAACTCTTTGAGCATCTTTATCAAATAGATAATGTTGTGACTTTAAATATAGACTCAGATATAATTGTGCAATATCGATAGTTTACTGTGACAAAAATAACCACATAATATTTAGAAACATGGTGAAACTGTTTCAGCTTTTTCCAATTTCTTGTTTGGATTTTAAACCAGAGGTCCCCAATCTTTTGGGCACCAGGGAGTGGTTCCATGGAGAAAGGTTTTTCCATGGACTGGAGAGTGTGTGATTTTGTGTGCTGCCTGCATCGTACGGATGAGGCTTTGCTTGTTTGTGTGGACCGGTTGCTGGCATGCTGCGACTTGGTACTGGTCCACGTACAGGGGGTTGGGGACCCTGTTTTAAACTATTGGCTATAATCCACTATATGAAGATATTGTCTTATGAAATGGACTATTGGTTACATTCATTATGGAATGCAGTAACAAATAATTTTTTTTCTTTTTTAGCCGGAAGTCTTTTCTTGCAGTTCTTCCTCTATTAAAGAGCCCCCACTTCTTTCAAATCCTTCTTCTTTGCCCCAGCGTAGTAGTGTTGCTCCTTTTTCATTGGAAGTAGAGAATTTCCTCAAACAATTCAACAAAAGTGCAGTTGCAGAGTCTACCAGTAAGGAAACGCAAGGCACTGAGCGTGACTGGAGACCATTTCCTGGTCTACATCAAAATATACTTCCTTCCGAACAAAACTCTGAAAATTTTTTAAAACAGAAAGAGCCTCATGAGTCAACATCAGAATGTGTTGACCAGCCTGGTGATTTCCTGCTTCCTCATGAAAGAGCCAGCCAGGATGGAAGTGGCTTTTCACGCATTCTGGGCATTTTGGGGGTCATGGCAGACTCTAATAATACGGAAGAAAAGAGAAGAAACAGTTTTCCTGATGATCTTGAGGATGAAGAGAAATTTCTTTATGGTGATGATGATGATGATGATGATGATTGTAATATTAGCTCTCCCTCTACTCAAAAATTAACACTGAGTGATGGGAAGGAATCTGTAAGCCAAAAAGTAGGTTCTCCACCTCCTTCATCTGTAAAACCAGAAACATTAGATGAATCCAGACCAGAGTATGAGAAGATTCATAATTTGCTTAAAACGATTGGTCTTGACATTGGGGTGGCAGAAATAGGTAAACTTGCTGCTCGTACTCAGGAACGTCTTCATGGAAAAAAGTCATCTCGTTCACCTGATCATTATTCAGTAGATTCTTCCAAGCCAGAAATGTGGGAGAGGCACCGCAGTCACAGTGAAACTTATTCTCCAGAATCAAACCAGAAGCACACACTCTCACCTACTGCTTCTTATCCATTATCTAAAGTTATACCCTCTGTTACAAAATCTGAGCACAACACAAACAAAATGTTAGGACAAGATCATCCTGTTGACCCAGTTGAGCAATCTGTTCCTCCGATATCTCTAATTCCATCAGCTCCACCATCTCTTCCTAATTTGTCACCTATACCCACCTCTGTTTCCCAGTATAGACTTTCACGCTTTTCACCTTTTCCTACACCACAATTACCACAAAACTATCCTCCTCCCACAATGGCACCTCCTGGCTATGATGCATATGGACACTACATGGCTTATGCAGCTTCTGGCTGGCCCATGTATGCTCAGCAGACTGATCCTGGGCTTACAGATATGCATGGGCTTGTCACACTAACGGTGCCACCAAATCCAACACGACCCAATCTTAGAGTTATTGAGACAGTTTCCACAGCAAAAGGGACTCCTGATATCAAAAGAGATGACTCTGTGCTTGTGCAAATCCCCACAGTAGCTTCTTATTCAAAAGTACATCCTCAGTTCTCTCAACCTTCACTAAGAGGTTCCAAGGAAAGAATATCTGATGAAAAAAACCGAGCTTCTAGGAAACAAAAGGTGGGTACTTTTATTATATATATATATATATTTATATAAATATTTTAAATATATATTATTTAAAGGCCCAAATGTTGAACCTGTGTATATTTTTCAATTTCACTAAATTTTCTTTTTGAATTTTGCTTACATTATGGCTATTTTAAGACCATTTGAAAACCTAAGCTGCTGAACACAGTATAAGGCATATTGGATGGTTAGTCATGATACTGCTATATTTCATTTCTGCTATGGGAGCTGCACTAGCTGTCAGTAGGTTTCTGAATAGAATGTTGGTCTCTTCTAGTATAGTCCTACACAAACAACTAGGAAGGCCTGCTAAGGGTTTCCACCTATCAGGAGGTATGGTGGAAAAGGGTGCAACAATAGACATTATCCAGCACAGGAGATGGAGAATCCACCAATGGGTTTTCTCTGTCTGCCTGCTCTTGAGACCAAGTTAGTCAAACTTGATATTTGGAATATCTTAGCCCTAGAAATAAAGATGGTTCCCAACCTCCTGGTATTCTGGAATCAAACGAATTTTTGACTTCCAGAAAAACTCTGGGGATTAATTATAACCAGCAGTGCTACTCGGTAAAATGTAGGGGCATTTATGCTGGGATTTAAATTAAATAGATTAGGTTGCATTTAATATTTTAATTATATTGAATTTCATATGTAAGCTCCGTAAACTTGGTTTGGTAAACAAATCTCATAAATGTGTTTCCATAATATGAGAAACAAATACTGTTTTGAACCTGGAGCAAAATAGCTTCATTTGAAATGTTCTATTGGAATAGTCAGGTTGGTTGTGTTTTCTGAGAAAAAAACTCAACATGTTCTGAGTTGTTTTATTCCAACTTTATAAAAATATGTTCTGTTTTGAGCTTGAAATATTCAAGATATTCCATTTTGTGAACAAATAGTTCATTTAAAGATTATTTTTTTGTGACCAGAAACTTGAATTTTTTTTATTGTAGGGACAAAATAGAATATTTTGCTGTGGTGTGAAAAAAGTTCATTTTATTTCAACCTTGAAATATTTTGAGCTAACAATGTTTTAGGCCCTGATTTCAAGGGATAATTAATATTTTAGAATCAAACAGACTAGATCAGGGGTCCCCTATCCCCAGGGCATGGCCCACTACCAGGCTGTGGCCTATTTGGAACTGGGCTGTGCAAGTGCAGAGCCGGTGCACACACACGCATGCTGCTCAACTTGTGCAAATCGAGTTGTGGGCATGTGCGCACCAGTCCACTGTTCACACTGCCCTACTCCCCTCTTCCCCCCCCCCCCCAACCTGGCTGCCAAGCTGCAAATGTTGGGGATTGCTGGACTAGATCATAATCTTGGAAATATGCTGATTTATTTATTAAATTTATATCCTGCCCATTTTGTCATCAAATGACTGGGCAGCTTACAAGATGATGAAAATAACAATGTAAAAGATTAAAATGATAAATATTAACATTAAAATTACCAAATATTAGCTAAGGAAGAAATCAAACATCCTGGAGGTGGGGTTTTAAGTGAATTAAGTTCATGGTGAAAAACTATTCTGTACTTTAAATTTCCTTATATTGTTGCTTGTTTTTCATTCAGTAGGGAATAAAACCATTTAAAAATTGTAAAATTATAATGCTTAACTTGAACATAATAAATTTGGGTTATTTAATACACATTTACAAATGCTTAAAATATTTCTATTATGTTGGAATTGATTGATTCCAAACATGATTGCAGATACTTCAGTCCATTAATTTCAATAGGTTTAGAGACACTTTATCCTGCATTGTTTGTGACTTTCTTATATTTTAGTTATAGACCATAGTGCTTCCCAGCAGAACATAGGTAATGCTAAAAAACTTTGATGTGATCCTTCACTGAAAAATAAACACAGATGCAACATGTAACAAAAGAGATGCTGTCTCTGATAAAATCTAAATTTGCATAATTATTCAAATGATTACTCAAAGTGATTATTAAAATCACTTGAATTCAAGGTGCAGTGGACATTTACCACATTGATTTTTGTAATGTTGCTTTACCTTTTGCTAAGGAAGATGGTGGTTTATGGCTTTTTTTTTCTTCAACATTTTTCCAGGTAATAGAGGAAATTGAGAAGTTGAAAGCTGAACAAGAAGCACGGCAAAAAAAACTACATTATCTCAGAGCTGAGTTAAACAGACTTTCGAAACAACAAGGTATTGTTTCTTCTCATGCCCCATCTTCCCTGGGATGTTTTTAAATAGAGTTTGATATTGTTTAGTCAGCTGGATTAAATGGGTTATGTTTCCTTCCTTTCTGTTATATGCATCCCAGGCAACATTAGCTTGTTTTACACTCAGTGGTGCACCCCTTGTATTTGGGTGGGCCATGATATTTAATAACGTTAATGATTACAATCATTTTGCATTTGTGAACATAATTTTCTTGCCTTTTGTACTCAACCACTTCGTTTGATTCAGGGGAATTGCTGCGGAAGAAACGGAGGGAGAAGGATGGACACAAAGACCCCTTGCTAATAGAAGTCAACCGACTGCAAGATAACATTGTGAAGGAAATAACTCAGCTGAAGATGAATGCTGATGCTGCAGAGAAGAAACAGTCTGAACTTGACAAGGTAGCCCAGATCCTGGGGATTAATATTTTTGAGAAATCCCGGAAACTGTCTTCAGAAAGTAAAGACTCTTCAGAAAATGCAAGAATTCAGGAGAAAACTTCTGATCTAGTCAAGGTAAATTCTGAGTGCTGATGCCATAGCCTGTATGAAAGAAAGGGCATTTTTTGCCATCTATGTCTATGCGAATGTGTGTGTTTGTGCGTGTGTACACATGCACTGTACCTTTGAGTCAGTGTTGATTCCTTATGATTGCCTGGATAATTCCCTGCAGATTTATTTGTAAGATTTCAGAAATGGTTTTGCCATTGCCTCTTTCCTAGATTTGAGAAAGAAGGACTGGTCCAACTAATACAATAGATACTTTGTACAAGACTTGAAATATCATCCAGAATTCTAAATACAAATGGAGGGGGAAGTGTTACACATCTATTATTCTATCTGTTTTGAGATTGTGCACAGTACAACATACAATCTTTCAACTATTCCTTGTTTGGTTGGAATTACGCATATTATATTCCTACACATACATTGCATGCAGCTCCCCGCCTCCAATGTATGCCTTGTGGTTTGTATATTTAATTCACTGATTGCTTATATACCAATCATTTAGACAACATATCTGCGCCTCAATGGAAGTTTTTTCCTGTTGACTGAACAGCATCTGAATCAGTAATTTCAGCTCCCTGAAACAATGACATTTTCATTGGTTTGACCAGTATATGATCTATACTGCAACTGGTCTCTCTTTTTGTCTCTTACACGCACATAGACACTGTGTGTGTGTGTGTGTGTGTGTGATATTTACTAAAAGCTGATTTTAAGGAACTGTCTTATTATATATCTTATAGATTTTTTTTTTAATGTAGGAATCAAAAACTAATAATGACAGATTCAGGGGAAAGAGTCCTAAGCCTATGGAATCTTCTTCACAGCCATTGCAAAGGACCAGTATTTATGACTACTATGATACAGGGAACCATTGGTGTAAAGATTGCAATACTACCTGTGGAACTATGTTTGATTTCTTTACACATATGCATAATAAGAAACATAGACAGGTAAGTGTCCAGTCATCAATTTGTCATTAATGTATGTAAGCTATAAAATACATTTTTAATGGCAAAGAATTCTATGCCAACTAAGTATGCCTTTAAAAAGTTCATTTGTTTATTTAGCATGGTCACCAAATTTGTTATATTTATTTAAAATGGACTGCATAGCAACCAGTATTGGATGTCATTATTCAATCTATATTTATCAATACACCATGCCACTAAAGCCTAAACTCTTATGGAAACTGAAGCTTTGTGGCAACTTATGTGATATGTGAAATCTCTTGTTTTTTGACCGATGCACTTGGGAATAAATTCACTTATATATATTCTGTGGTGTCTGAACCATAAGCAAATTCAGCTGCCATTTATTCTATAGTTCAAATTTTTTTTCAATGTAGGAATCAAAAATTATTAATAAGAAATCTGGAAGAAAAGGCTGAAGCTAATAAAATTGACTATGTTTTTTGGGATTTATAATCAGCTGTTTAAAACATAGCATCAGTTTGATTTGACTGCAGTCTGTGAGATGATAGAGTACATACATACTGATATGTTTTAACTTTCCATACTTCATTTGTAGTAAGTCAGGCATGTCAAACTCGTGATGTCGCGCGACGTATTGCGACTTTCCCCCCATTGCCGACAATGGGGTGGGCGCAGTTTTGGCATGATGCATCCAGCCCGTAGGCCGGTAGTTTGACATGCCTGTAGTAAGTTATAGTGGAGTGAGAGATTGCAATTCTTCCACATATGCTGCTGATATCAATTTCTTTTTGACTAATCTTCACTTTGACCAAAAGCCAAGCCCCTTTTCATGTATCAGTCTATATGTTTTTGTCATTGTGCAAATAGACCCTGGATCCATATAACAGACCTTGGGCAGCAAAGACTCAAATTGAAACAAAGCAGGAAGTCACAAAACGAATTGACAAAATACCCGTTCCAGCCAAAGGTATGCTGTCTGTCTTAACTTTAGTTGTTCAAAGCACACTGTCACAGGCCATTGTAATGCTAAGCAGTGCACAACTTTGGTTGCTTATTTATTATTTATTTATCAAATTTATTTGTTGCCCATCTCATGATTCTGGCAACTTTGTTTACATTTTTCCTAAGTTTTAAGCAATTTTTTCTATATTAATACTTTACTTCAGAAGTAAGTAGGAGTGGAAAAGCAATTTATGTTTGATCTGTATGCTGGGTTGAAATACTATAATAAGGAATGATGGACAAAAGTTGTTTTTTTATTTAAAATTTCAGATCAGATTATTCTAGTAAGAATTGGGTTGAGGATCCATAGTATAGTTTGCTGATATTTTAATAGTTGCTTTGTGCCTGTTAAATTTAGTTTCTTAATATATTTTTGTGACTGAATCTTGGGGGGGGGGCATTTTAGGTTCTGAATTTCTTATCCCAGTCACTGGATATTACTGCCAACTCTGCAGTGAATTCTTTGGAGACCAGATATCAGCAGAACAACATGTGAAAAGTCATCTACATAATGAGAAATATAAGGTTAGTGTTCAGAATATTAGTTTTGAATAATTCATTGGAGCATATCATAATTAGTGCCATGCCCTTTAAAACCCATTTTGTTCATCTTGACTTCTGCTAATGGCAAAGGCAGGACAAAGCCATCTTTGGCATCTATAGGTATAGCTGGGATATGATATTATCTGACCTTAGGGCTTAGGGAGTTGTTGCCTGCAAGTGCAGACTGTGCTGAAAAATCAGATATCATCTCAATATTCTTAACTTAGTAGAAATTCAAAAGTTTTGTAATGCTTGTCTTGTGCTTCTTAAAAGGTATACATTTGTTATCCCCCCCCCAGCCTCTTTTCCAGTAAATACAATTAATTCATCAGATAGTAGAATAAGAAATAGAATAAATTAAGAATCCAGACTTATTCCAATGGCGAATTGATGCATTAAGTAACAGTGCTGAAATGTTTCCTTCCACCCCATAGAAACATGTGGATGAGAATCCTCTCTATGAAGAAAGGCGAAATCTGGATCATCAGGCAGGATTATCTGTGATTCAGGAAACTGAACGCAGGCTGAGACGGAAACTGTGTGAAAAACAAAAAGAGGAAAAAGATGAGAAGACAACAAAAATAGCGAAGAAAGAAGAAACAAAGAATATTAAAGAACTAGGAGATGGGAATAATGAATATGAAATTAGTAAAAAGAAAGAAATCCCTAATGGTGAAAAATGTGGGATTAAACTTAAATTGAAAAAAGATGACAAAGAAATAGAAAAGAAGGAAGACAGAAAAGAGGAATCTGAAAAGGAGTCAAAACTAACAACTTTTGGAAAATTCAGTTGGAGAAAGAGTGAGAGAGATGAAAAAAATCAGGGGAAAGATGTAGCTGTTTCTAAAGAAGAGAGCCCTGAGGAAAGTAAAGATAAAGAAAGTAAGTCCCAAAGCGGAAAACAAAATTCAAAGCCTATTGCAATTAAGTTATCTGGAAAAACGGTTATTCCACATACAAGCCCCTGGACACCAGTTGTTTCAACTTCATCGCAAGCCAAAATCCGCCCCAATTTACCAATCCCAGTGATGGTTCTAAGGAAGACTGCAGTTACAACAGTAAGCAAGCCAGCACCCCTAAATACTTTTTTGTCTATAAAATCTTCTGGTACCACTGCCAAACCTTTGCCGGTGGTCAAAGAGGGAAATCCAGACATTGTTTTGCCACCAGATATTATATCAAAAGCATTTGGGGGAGAAGTAGTAGTTTTAAAGGGACCACAGGAGGATATAAAGGTACCTGAAGAAGCAGAGGAAGGGGATCATGAAAGTGAGACAAAGGCCATGGAACAAGCAAATGTAACGAAGGCCCAGGAGCACGCAGAGGTAGTGGCAAAAGCTCAGGCCAAGGCACGGGAGCTTGCAGCAATGGTGAAAAAACAAGATGTCTCACAAATGACAAACGCAAATGAACAGTCTCTGACTTTTGAGAGGCCCCATAGGCGCCCTCCTCTACTGCCGCTACCTCCAGGACCACCACTGTCACTATCTGTACCACAGCCACCACCCATAGTATTTGCCCCTCCACCCCCTCTGCCACCAAAACAACTGGTTATTCTGGCAGATGATATGGCACCCGGTGTATCTGAGGATGATAAGAACATATTGGAGATGCCCATGTGTCCTCGCCCCTTGCCACCTCCATCTGTTTTTGGAGAGCATGTTAAAACATTAAAGAAAAAGAACTCTTCTCTGGCTGCCGGTAATGCTAAAGATCTGTATGACATTTTTTACAATAGTAGTGGGATGAATCCAGCTGAGAGCAAGCTAGTGAATTCTGCAGTTTCAGATAAAGGAAAATGGAATCCTACTGAGAAGGAGAAAAATGCAAACCTACAGGTAAATTCCCAGTCAAGTTGTAACCCTTTTTCAGAGGAATCCCTTTGCAGTGTATACACTTCCTCAGCTAGGAACCTAGAAACAGAGGAAGTAAAAGATGAGAAAATGGTGACAACCGATGAAGAAATTATTGAAATCAAAGCCAGTGTCGAGAGGGACTTAGATAAAGTCTCCTTTTCAGATATACAGTCTACATTGTCAGAAGCAGATGATTTAGCAAGTAGTACCTCTTATCCATTCCATAATGAGGAAGAAATGGGAATTCCTGTTCCATCTGAATTTAACAAGAAATTATCCGAACCTGAGAAAACTGAGTTAGCTGTGCAGATAGAAAAAATGAGCCCTCTTCCTTTGGAAGGCTTTAATGAGCCATCTGTTAGCCTTGAGACAACAGAACATGACATTTCTGATGATCGATCCGTCACACAATTCTCAGAAATCTCTAACAATCTTCTAGAAACTCTCTCTGATTCTGCGCAAAATGTCAGTTATTCTAAAGAAGAATCAACTGATCTAAAACTAGACACTAAGGAATGCAATAGTGGTAAAAGTCCTCAGCCTTCAGATTCAGAGCTAAACAAAGATGAATTAAACTCTTTCCTTACAAACAGTGAACAAGAGGATTTGAATGGTTCTCAGTTAAAGGGTGGTGAGGATTTCAGTGTAGTTAATATTCTAAAATCTGAAGAGATTACAGATGAGAACTTTGTTAATGTAACAACAATAAGCACCACAATAGAGAAACATGAACAAATCAATCAGTTCCCATTAAGCTGTGAAACCAAGGAACTCCAAGTGGGAAAAACAGAAGCATTGGATAGTATTTCTTCTACAAATGAAATTAAACCCAGTTATGTGGAATTTATGTTTATAAAACATGATACACAAAAATCTTCTGTCTCTGATTTGGAATTAAGTGGCAATGAAGAGAGAAGAACTGTAGAAACAGAAAGTGCTAATTTTTCAACTATACAGCCAGAAATGGGCCAAGAAATACTAGATCCTCTTCCAACAGAAATCAGTATTGGGCATCTTGGAGAGGTGACTCTTTCCTTCACAGATCTGAATACTGAAGTATTGAATACCTCAGCAGCTGATAATTTTGACTTAAACAATACATATCCAGAACTTAGTTTTGAACAGTCTACTACTTTTTCTCTGGATTTAGAAAATGAAGGAGTCTCTCCAAAATCTGATGAAACAAAGACTATAGATTCTCCCAGACTGAAACCAAATTTGGAATTAGAAACCATTGATTTCACTCTGGGAAATATTTCAGTGGAACATGAAGTGGTAGATATTCTGCCAACTGAAATTTTAAACGAGGACAATGCAGACAGTCCAAAGTTAGAAATGGTTGCACCTATTTGTTTAGAGTCTAGCAAAATGAGTGAATTGGACACTGACCCACCAGTGATTGAATCTGAAATAATTAATTTTGTTGCATTTACCCCTGATGATCAAGAGGAGAAATTTTGCTCCATGGTTTCAGATGCAATTATTCCATATGTGGTGTCTTCTGCATCAAAGAATGACGTGGCAGAAGTAAGCATGCCCCTTGTTCAATTGCAGGATATGTCTTCTGTTTCCATGCCCCAACCCCCCTATAGTAGCAAAGCAGACACGCCTGATAAACTGTTGTGGAGCTATAGTGGGGAAAATGTACAAAACCAAGCTGTGACATGCATGGAATGCATCCTTCCAAAGCTAAAGGAATCTGTAGAAGTGGGGGGTTCAGGTGACAGTGAGTTGTATAGTTTCAAGAATCAAATGCAGACATCCATAGATAAACTAAAAAAGACAGAGGAAGAAAAGAATGATGATAAATGTGAAGTTAAAAATAAGTTGGCTTCAGAAGTAACTGACATATCTGCAGAGCAACTGGTAAGTACAGACAAAATTGTTACAAATCTCTAATTGTTACAAATCTCTAAGTAGCAATTGTTGACATTTTGTAAATATTATATTATAGCTTAATAAGTTGAAAATATAGCTTGCAATAGTCTTTCTCAAAAAAACCTAAAATTCTGCCTAAAATGTAAGCTGTATTGTATATATCTGATTGTGTAAAATATTTGTTTTTCAGTCTTGGACTTCCAGCCATTAAAAATGGATTTCTCATCCGTAGTATGTGTTTCAGCTATGGTTTGGGTTTTTTTTTTAATTATTATTTCTGTTAAACTGTGACTGTACTTTTTACATTTTTCTTTGACTTTTTATGGTTTCTGATTTATACAGCTTTTGTAAATAACATTCCAAGTGCAACACTGACAAGTGCAAGGACATGTGTTCAGGACTTGAGAAAAAAAGAAGGCTCTTGCTGAACCATTTAAGCAGAAAGTTTCTTTGAAACAATTTGCATGTTTCATTGCACAAAATGTAAAATGCATGAAAAGTGTTCTGCATTTTTCATCATGCAGAAGATTGTTCTGCAATTTTTTACTTGTTATTATCTTGTTGAACTACACCTGTAATCAAGACTGATGCCATATTGTATAAAATCCTGTGTGGATGCCATCTCACTGAGCAAAGGAGAAATATCTATCGACTCACTTTTGGAGAAAGAAAATCTTTGGTAAGGCTATGGCCCATCAATTGGACTCTGCATATTGAGGTCACTTGCATGATTTAAAAATCACATTTTATTTTACTACGTTGTGGTACAGTAACTGTTTGTGTTAAATTGTTTAGCAGCTGCCTAACTCAGAAGAAATGGAAGATCTGAACTTTGCTCTCTGGATTGGATTCCCATCATATAACCAGTCATTACATGCCTGAATGAATCCCTGAGCTACAAAAATACTGTTTTGTGAAGGTTTTCAGTTATACAACTTGTCAAGAAACGCAGTAATGCTTGCATGGATTTATCTAAAAGATTTTATCTGTAAATCTAAAATAAACCCATGATGATCTGCGACATGATAAATATTTTTTCTGTGTCTTTTTTCTGTCTACTTCTATAAGTAGTGTTTGGATTCTGTGGTTGAGATAAAGCTGATGAAAATCTTCCTTAAGTTTTTCATCTTTCAAATTCATCTGATCAGCTTCTTAAGAGAAGAAACTGCTTAAACATTGCAAAGAATTGTACACTTTCCATTTTAAAAGTAAATTTGTTTTGAATTTTAAATATATTGGTTCCATCATACAAGATCAGTGTGGATAGGAGATGTGAAATACTTTGCAAAAACAAGAAAAAATATACTTCAGTAGAAATAAATGGCAATATTAGAAATCATTTCTTGTGAATGTACGATCCCCTAAATTATGAAATGTTTCTAAACCTACTACAGTGCTTTACTAACCACTTTCTTTTTGTGCTTTGACTCGTGGCATGTACATGGATAAGTCTGCAGTTTTCATAGCAATGTTTTTGAAAAATCATTTGCCATGGACCTATTCCTAGGGCTAAGAGAGAATGACTGGCCCAAAGTCTCCTAGCTGGCTTTATGCATAACTCAGTATTAGAATTCATAGTCACCTAATTTCAACACCAATCAGAATTTAGGTTCCCAGCTAGCAACCTGAGGTGATCAAAATAGCACATGGTAACCAATGATAGAAATTATCAGATGTAGGATAGCATAAATTAAATATTAGTTTATAACTAAGAAATATAACTTAGAAATATAACTAAATTGTAATTTGTCTGTTTGCATCAAAGGTAACTAGGAATTACATGGTTTAATTGTACAGTTGTCTTACTTATGTCTGTATAAAATATATTCATTAATAAATATTTATATCCTGCTCAATCCAGAAAATTCAAAATAACTTACAAATTATAATAATATAATAATGATAGCAAAACAAAATTACAACATCATGAGATGCTGTGGCTTGCACCCCACATACTAGGTCAACTTGTTAAGCGTGGAATGCCAGTAAGTAAATGGAGATAAATCTGTTCATCCTTCACTGTTTTGTTGTATACTTCTGATGATTTAAGGGGTTGATTAAGGAAGCAAGTTTAATATACAATGTTATTCTAGTAAAATTAATTATTGCGTTTCCTAGCACTATCCTACCAAGGTACTAAATGTACAAACTTTTATTCTGCCTTCAATAACTTTTTATAACTTTTACAATAAGGCTCTGAAGCATATTAAGATTAAGAGATGGCAACTGGCCCAAGTCCAGACATTGAGCTTTACAGGGTCTCCCCACTCCAGGACTATATTCATTATACAACAGAGGGTCTTGTAATTTCTCTTATTCTGGATCAGATTATTATAGCAATCTCTTCCTCGATATACATCAGGCCCCACTCATTAACCTTTATGAAAATCATTTTAAGATTTTGCTCTCCCACCATGCATTCAAGGACAGTTGAATGGGAGTCCCCCTATGATTGTTTTGTTGTATAGCCATTTTATGTTTGTATTTATATATTGTCTATGTTTTGTTTCATGGGTGATTTTTACTCTATGCTTTTACTATTTATGAGTTGAGGGGCCTTACACATCTTACAAATCAATAATCTGGACTAAGGTCTTAAGATTCTGAATAGAATTCCTACTCATTATGTTATATATGAAGTAGAATATATAACATAATGTAAGCTTCAAGAGGAAAATCATCATCATTTAGTCCATAATAAGCCAGGGATGAGTACAGTTACAAAGAAACAAGTATGGATAATAAGCAGTAGCTGCAGATGGTCAGTGAGAAAAAAACTAGAAAAACTCATAAATATAAAACACCTTCAAGTGGACAAGCAAATGTGGAAAAAAGAGTAGTGGTGGCAGAGGCAATAGTGGTTGGTGTGCTTGGTGTTATAACAAAAGATGTGAGAAAGTGATCAAATATAATATGAAGGGACAGAATCAGCTCATCAATTACACAAAAAAAGTAGCATTACTTGGAACAGTAACTTCTATTGAACAATATCCTAGATCCTTGGGAAGTATCCAGTAATCAAAAGTATCAAGTCTAGTCAGAGCCATTGACTTAGGTTACTTGTAAACATTTGAACTACAAGTCTGTTGACATCACAATCAACATTGTTATTTACACAAACTATATTGTTGATTGTGATGTCAACAGAATTGTAGTTTAAATGTTTACAAGTAACCTAAGTCAATTAGTATTGAAAACATGACTTAGATTTAGATAGATCTTAGATAGAGCCGTGATGGCGCAATGGTCAGAATGCAGTATTGCAGGCTACTTCTGCCAGCTGCCTGCAGTTTGACAGTTTTATTCTCACTGGCTCCAGGTTGACTCAGCCTTCCATCCTTCTCAGGTGGATAAAATGGGGACCCAGATTGTTGGGGGTAACATGCTGACTCTAAACCACTTAGAGAGGGCTGTAAAGCACTGTGAAGCAGTATATAAGTCTAAGTGCTATTGCTAGATTTGATTCTGCATTTAATGGATAAACTTATATTTAATAATTGGAAGAGATTACCTTTGTATGCAGATTAAGAATGCGTGAAATTGTATAACCAACGATAATCTTTAAAAATTGTTCTGAACTATATATTATTTTAGAAACTTCAAGAACAATGCAAAAGAAATTATTGCTGTCTATTGGGGTAAGAAGTGTGATTTTACAGATAAATTCTTGCTCTTAACCTTTTCTTCTGAATGTTGAAAATTTGCAGGAACTCTTCAAATATCTTACAGAAATGAATGTTACGGCTTAAAATTTTTTAGCCCTTTTTTTCAAAATAGTTCCGCTACTGCAGTGGTAGGCAACCTTGGTTCTTTTATGACTCGTGGACTTCAACTACCAGAATTCCTGAGTCAGCATGGCTGACTCAGGAATTCTGGGAGTTGAAGTCCACGAGTCATAAAAGAGCCAAGGTTGCCTACCCCTGCGCTAGTGGTTCATTTGAAACTGATGTATCTTTAAAGTCCAAGATCACATTTTATTATTCTCACATGGAATCTGGATTAGCATATCTTTTCCAAAGTGAAAAACTGCAGGAAGGCTCGACTTTCAGATTTTAATAGCTGAAAGAGAAGGGGGAAGAGGTCATCATCCACATTCTGGAGGGATTATAATGTGACAAATTAATTTCCCTTGTTCCTATTTTAAGTGGCCAGTTTGCAAATACATTTAAAATGTGTAAACATGATTAGGGAGATCTGCTGTAAATGGCAATTTATACATAGGCAGTGTTGCTATTGCCACACAGTTTCAAGCAACAGATATATCAATACTTACAATTCCTTTGGAACATTGCATGAGGCTTTATTTGAGGCATGTCACATTAAGCTCTTGCTCACTTATTCTTTCTGGACCATTACTGTTTTCTTGCATTGAGCCTCCTGCATTAGAGTGTTATGGAAAATCCTGTTATGGAAAATAAGTTCTGTACAGTGGTATCGTTTATCCTGTATAATGTTTTGAGATAGAGGGAGAACTTTACAACACTATGGTAGTTGGTACTAAATCTCTACATGCTGTGTTACACGCTGGAAAAAAAATATCAAGCTACATGCATATTAGTCTCCATGTTAACAATGTTATTGCTGTTCAGCAGGATAGATATCTATGCTGGAAACCTTGAGAAATTCTCTTAGAAGTGCATAGCAAATCACTTGGAAAAAAAAATAACTGGAGAAATGCACATCCAAAATTGTATACTACCCACTGAAGTAATGAATTTCTAAAAATACATTTTTTTCAAACATTAATTTTTAATTTTTCACAGTAATAGGAGTTCAAAATATAAGATGCTCAGGTTTCCAAGACAGTTTTGACAGAAATCTGGATTCTGACGAATAAATCTGAGCATAAGTATATAATTTTTCTACAAGTCTTTTTTGTACTGAAACTATACTGAGAACTTGCTTTCTTCATTAATTTGTATTTAAATATATTTCTACATTTTATACACAATTAGATATTGAAAGAATTTTAGAACTAGGAAAAATCTTTACTTTGATTGAAGCAATTATGGAATGTCATGCTCAGACAGTTCATTTTTATCACAGTATGTGTATTTAAATGCATTTAAACTTCCATCAATTTCAGTAATTTAGATTCATATTTTTTAATTCAGAACTAGATTGATTAAGAAATCCTTTTTGATTGGTTCCAATAATGTTTCATAATATTAAGGTACATTAATTTTGGTTTTGGTTGAAATTTTCCTCAGTCTCAGACATAAATATAGCAATTTTAGTATTTATTATTAATTATTACTTAAACTTTTATTCTGCCCATCTCACTCAGCTAAATAATAATATATAAATAGTAATATAACTGTGTATGTGTATGTAAAAACTTATTAGAAAGTCATTGCAATAAAACACATTGATCTTGCTAATTTTATGTAAGTTAGCAGTAACTCCTGAGACTGAAAATACTTAATTATCAGATTCATAATCTTAAAATAATTCTGTGTGGATCAGCTAATTCTGATCTGAACCTTCAGACACAATCATTTATAGGGATAGACGATGGGACTTCAGTCTTAATTGGAGGTAAGTTCTATTAAGCTCAATTGAATAAATACTTTAGTTAATAATAACATTCATACTACCATATCTACTTTTCTTTTACTGTTGGATCAGTGAGGTGATATTTGGTAACATTCTGCTTCTAGTTAAGATATAGCTAAGATGAAAGCAACACATTAGTTTTTCAGGAACTTTTATAGGACTAGTGAACTGAAAGGATTGTACTAGCATGAGAAACCTTTATCTTGCCTGGCATTGACATAAAATGTGGGAGGGTGGGTGGGTGGATGGATGGATGGATGATCAGGCTAATATCTGTGTTTGTATGTGCACGCACAAGCTATAAAAAGTTCAGGCCCCATTCCAGGCCCCTCTTGCTGGCCACCATGATATATACAATGATGGAGAATAAACAAAAACATAATTTGTAGTATTCCATTAATATTTGCTCAATGTAACATCTCAATTCATTTTCAAAAAAATCTTAGTGCTAAATAAGTGCTTCAATTATTTCTATAAAATACAGAAAAGATCTTGAAAAAATAATGCAGTGTGCAACTCATAATTTATGTAAGATTCAAGATATATTTAATTCCTTTCATTTCTATTTTTACTGAGGCATTTTAATTTTCCGATTACTTGAACTGATGGATTTTAATGGTATTAAGGTTAGTATTCATTTATTTTGCTTTTATAACTTGATTTGATGCAGATATCCCCCCCCCCCGACATCACTTATAGGGGAGAATACTTTTATTAAGAGAAACAGCTATAGATACTGCAGAAAATGTTTTATTGCTTGTTGCTAGAATCTTCAATATGATTATAGAAATATATTTTTTTGCTATGTCTTAAATTCATTAAAATTATTATAAAATTACTTTGGTATCTGGCTGTTGTGTCAACTGTTCTGTTTATGATTGTCAGTAGCTCTTTGATAGTTCAATAATTCCTCAAGATATCATTTATAAAATATGTATGCTTCCCAACTCTGAAACAATGATATTTATAAGGAGTGTGGAAAGGAGGCTAATAAGACAATTACCTAAGTAATATTTTATGTATTGGAAACATGAAATACTTTATTTCTCATTTGTCTAGGTGAAAATGGTAGATGAAATAGAAAGTATTTCCCTCAGTTTCCATCTTTGAGATTCATAAAGATAATCCAGCAGAAATAATGGATGGGTGTCATTCTCAAGGGTGTCATTCTGTGTCCTGAGGTAGAAACAGTTATGCCTGAAGTGAAAAATGTTAGTGATTTGGAGCCCTGTTCAGGTTGCACATCAATTAGGTTGCTTGCATAGATGTGCCTACAGTTGCTTTGGGTGTGATGGGTGGTGGAGGATTGAAAGCACTGTAGGTACTTCTGTTGTGGAACCAGCTTCCCTCTTATGTATCCATGGAGCACTTCACCTTTATTAATAAAGACTCAAACTTTTCAGTCAAGAAAAGCAAAGCCTGACAAAATTTATACCTTGTGTAAAGCCTTGGAAGTGGTGCAGGGTTGTTTTTTTTTAGGATAGAGTTTTCCCTTTCTTGGATTTAGTTTAAAATTAGAAGTTTCTTTGTTAGATTTATATTGCCACCACTCAGTCTTAGTGACTATGCAACTTAACATACAATAAAAAACTCAATATAAAATATAAAACAGTAACCCTCTAACCCTACCTGGCGACAACACACAATCAAATGAACCACTTATTTATGTATTTATAAAATTTATTTGTTACCCATCTTGTATCCAGTGACTGGGTGGATACATAGTTCCTGAATGTTGGATCAAACATCAAGATGCCGTTGCTGATACTTAAAGCGGGGAGGCAAGGAATGTTGCAGGTCCTTAGGAGGTATATCTAGTGGGAACCAGAAGGGCCTTTTCCATCATCATCCCCAACCTCCATTTGGACACTTTCACAAGGTCATCGCAATGTAAAAAAGATGCTAAGACTCTAGAAAGAGTACAGAGAAGAGCAACAAAGATGATTAGGGGACTGGAGGCTAAAACATATAAGGAATGGTTGCTGGAATTGGGTATGTCTAGTTTAACTAAGAGAAGGACGAGGTGGGACATGATAGGAGTGTTCCAATATCTTGGGCTGCAACAAAGAAAAGGGAGTCAAGCTATTCTCCAAGGTGCCTGAAAGCAGGACGAGAAGCAACGGATGGAAACTGATCAAGGAGAAAAGCAACTTAGAATTAAGGAGAAACTTCCTGACAATTAGAACAATTAACCAATGGAACAACCTGCCTCCAGAAGCGGTGAATGCTCCAACACTGGAGGTTTTTAAGAAGAGACTGGACAGCCATTTGTCTGAAATGGTGTAGAGTTCCTTCCTGAGCAGGGGGTTGGACTCGATGACCTCCAAGGTCCTTTCCAACTTTTTATTATTATTATCATTATCATCATTATCATCTCTTAAAATATTTTGAAGGTGATCCTTCAGTTGAGAAATCCTGAAAACAAAAAACTTATTTACAGCTAATCAGTGGGAGAGCACAAAACATGGCAATACATTGAGGCTTGTCAAGATAAGCTACCTTCCTGGAGTATACGGATTCCTTCTACCCATTCTTACTAAATATCTTTTGTAATAGCATCTCTCCGTGTTGATATGGTGGCTAAAAGTCTGTGCAAAACAGGAAGCGACTAGCAAGACAGGTGAGCCAAAAAAAGTGGATCACTCACAAGCTGTATAAGGTGATAATACTGTATTGAAAAGAAAATATCACTCAATCTTCATTCTGATCAATGACCAGCTTAAAACAGACAACAGTCTGTTTTACAACAAAGGAATTTTTTTATCATCCAGAACACAGAATAATGATTTTAAATTATAAGAAGACAAGTTGGAATAGAAAGTTACAGGTGGGCTTTCTTTCTTTTTTTTAATAAAAAGTTTTTATTTTCCATTTAATCATCATACAAAATACAATTTACAAAATAAAATAAATTCATGACCATTGGTATCGCCTGCCCATTCCCCCCAGGCTGCGTCCACCCTCTTTAAACCTTCCCTACTTCCCTCCTCTTTCTCTCCTCCCCTCCTATTCTCTCCCCTCCCCTTCTCCTCTTACCATCCTACTTCCTCCCTACACCTTCCTCCCCTCTCATCCCTCTCAGACACATGAACGCAGCATAGGGGAAGCAGCACCTCTCTCATAAACTACCATATCTATATTATCCTTACCCACCCACTCACTGTCAGGTGGGCTTTCTTTAACTTGATGTTTAAATAGAAGCTAGCCAATCATCTCCCCCAAATAATCTTGGATTCCTGCACTGAGCAGATAAGATAACCTCTAGTGTCATTTTTTTTTACTGTGGGCACAACGGCACACATCAAAAATGAAATTTAGTTGCCCGCTCTCAAAGTGAAACATACATGACACACACCTAAACATACTATGAACATGTACAGACCCACATCCCTATATATACGTAGCAAATAAATATTAAATACTGTACATCTTGAATATATAACGGAAGGAAGAAATTTGAGAGTTCACAAGGTTAATGGTGTATGGGATGAAACTATGGCTGAATCTGGATATTCTGCTACGGATACCACGAAGCCTCCTCTCAGAAGGAAACAAGGAAAACAGGTTGTGGAGAGGTTGTGTAGTGTCCCAGATAATCTTGCGGACCCTGCTCAAACAACGCTTCTGTGCTATGTCCTGGATGGGAGGGAGGGAACTGCCAATGATCTTTTTGGCCATTCTCACCACTCTCTGCACCGCCTTCCTGTCTGAAGCAGTGATGCCTCCAAACCAGACCATGATGCTGTATGACAGGATGCTCTCGATTGTCCCCCTGTAGAAAATGGTCAGGACAGGGGAAGGAAGATGTGCTTTTCTCATGCGACGCAGAAAATGCAGGCACTGCTGTGCCTGCTTCACCAGTTTCTCGCTGTTGAGCGACCAAGTCAGCCTACTTGTTAGCTGCACACCCAAGAATTTGATGCTGGTAACCATCTCCACGGGTGAATCATTAATGCACAGAGAAGTGCGGCTGTGCCTGCCTTTTCTGAAATCAACAATGATCTCTTTAGTTTTTCCGGTATTTAAAACTAGGCTGTTTTCCTTACACCAGTTCACCAACCCCTCAACCTCCTTGCGGTAAGCTTCCACCTTGTCATCCTGAATAAGGCCCACTACTGTTGTATCATCATTGTATCATAATAAAAGTTGGAAGGGACTTTGGAGGTCATCTAGTCCAACCCTGCCTATACCATTTCAGACAAATGACTGTCCAGTCTCTTCTTAAAAACTTCCAGTGTTGGAGCATTCACCGCTTCTGGAGGCAGTTTGCTCCACTGATTAATTGTACTGTAAGGAAGTTTCTCCTTAGTTCTAGGTTGCTTCTCTCTTTGATTAGTTTCCATCCGTTGCTTCCTGTCTTGCCTTCAGGTGCTTTGGAGAATAGCTTGACTCCCTCTTCTATGTGACAACCCCAGATAGTTGAATTCAGTGGCTTCGGTGTCCTCTTCCAACTCAATTTTTTTTTTTTTTTTGCAGTTAATCTTGGCATTGATCTATATTCAAATTTTGCTTTTCTATCAAGAGTGGCTAACGTAATAAGTTCAAAACGCACCACCTAGTGGTAATAAAGGAACTAAACTGAAATATAACGTCGAGATGGTCCTCTGATGCTGCTGCTAGACGCTTACTTTCACAAAAGTCCTCAATCGCACGAGGGAGCTAAAAGGTGCTCTCGACTCGAAAGGTTAATCGCGCATAACCAGCTCCCGTAGGTTACAGAAGCACCTAATAGCATGCTGGGATTTGTAGTTTTATCAAGAGAACGACTGTCGCCTGAAGTACTTTTGTCACTTACCCCTCTACGTCATTCTTTCCTTTTAGGCCTAACGCTTTCCAACGTGGTCTCCTCACAGATGCAGAAAAAAGAAAGCTATTCTTTGTATAGCTGTCCTGTGCTATGCCTGCCAGAATATGCTTAGTGCGCTTCGAAGCCGACCATTTTTACCCTCAGAGACAAAGGCAGAATTTTCTCAAACTGACACGTTCTAATGAAGCGAGAGGGAAAAAGCCGGCAAGTTTAGAAGACGCAGAGCGCAACCTATTTAACCAGGCATTTGCTTGGGCGACCTTTCAAAGGCAGGTGAGAGGTCAGTCATGGGGGGGGGGCTTTCCTTGTCTCCGCCCTTTCCCCCCTCCTTCTGACATGCCAACCCAGCAGCATTCGGCGGCGTAGCAGCTGCGCAGGAGGTGGGTGAGGACAGTGGGAGTTTGGGGGTGCAGCTAAGAGAGGGGTGATGGGACCCCCTCCGTCCACGCGCTTTTGCAGTGAAGAGGGACGGGGAAGATGTATTTCTGAATACAATACTGTATAAATAGCGAGTTTATGAAGGGGGGCGGCTTAATTTTGGGTCACCCTAGATGGAAAGCAGAGCAGGAATTCAGTGGGTCTCTCCTAATACAAGGCGCCTAGAGTTCAGGTGAGGCAGATTCGCCCCTTATTCAAGGGAAGAGAGGGAGGAGGAAAACCGCTCGTTCCACTCGGAGTCAGTTAGATTCATTGAATCTCCCCCCCCCCCAATCGTTTGCAGGCTCCAGAGTTTAGTTTTTGTTTTCCTTTTGTGTTCATTCTGAAGCCCCAGAATGGAGTTGGAACTCATGGAGAATGACATTTTAGAGTCACTTGAAGACCTCGGGTGAGTATGAGAAAAAATATATAGTTGGATCTTTTTTTTTGTTGCTCCGTTTTTTAAAGTATGCTCTCTGTCTCTTGGGGTGATCACAATGTTTTTCTGAATATATTCCCTTTTCCTAAATAATAATGATAATGATAGTAGTAATGATAATGATAAAAATAAATAATAATAGTAATAATAATAATAATTGGAAGGGACCTTGGAGGTCATCTAGTCCAACCCCCTGCTCAGGCAGGAAACCCTATGCCATATCAGACAAAATGGTTGTCCAGTCTCTTCTTAAAACTTCCAGTATTGGAGCATTCGCAACTTCTGGAGGCAGGTTGTTCCAGTGATTAATTGTTCTAACTGTCAGAACATTTCTCCTTAGTTCTAGGTTGCTTCTCTCCTTGGTGAGTTTCCAACCATTGCTTCTTGTCCTGCCTTCAGGTGCTTTGGAGAATAGCTTGACTCCCTCTTCTTTGTGGCAACCCCTGAGATATTGGAACATATCTCTTCGTTAAACTAGACATGCCCAATTTCAACTAAAATCTAGTTTACCCAATGTCTAGTTTAATTTAATTCCCATGACTGTTTTGCCTCTAATCAATTAACTTTAATTGCTGACTATTCTTTGAAGTGTACAGTATTCCGTTATGCAGGGAGGAAATGGGAGATTTGTCAGCTGATCTTCAGTTGGCTTTTAACAGGATAAGATTTGTAGCATATAAAGATTCACTTCCTTCACTCCAGTTAATGATCTTGGAATACCTGATGGTAAGTGAAGTCAAGCAGAAGAGAACTAATCTAGATGAAAGACAACTGGAAACTCCTCCTAAGGAAAGACAAAATGAATATATTTATGATGGCGGAGGAGGATCTCAGAATATGTAGTTGCTGCCCAATACAGGTAGTTCTCGACTTACGACCACAATTGAGCCCAAAATTTGTTAAGTGAGACAAGAGTTTTGCCTCATTTTACAACATTTCTTACCACAGTTGTTAAGTGAATCACTGAAATTGTTAGTAACCCAGTTGTTAAGAGAATCTGGCTTCCCCATTGACTTTGCTTGTCAGAAAATTGTAAAAGGTGATCAAATGACCTTGGGACACTGCAACCATCATAAATATGAACAAGTTGCCTAGCATCTGAATTTTGTTCACATGGCCATGGGGATGCTGCAAAGGTAACTCTGAAAAATGGTCATAAGTCACTTTATTCAGTGCTGTTGTAACTTTTAACGGTCACTAAATGAACTGTTGTAAGTTGAGGACTACCTGTATTATGCCTTATGGGAGAGTAGTGTAGATATGTTTAATCTGACTAGTATTACAGTATTAGAAATCTTTGCAAAGAAAATTCAGAAACTGAAATAAATGTAGGATTGATTTCTTGTGATCACAACATCTATGCTTTAGTAATATTTATAGTAAATATTTTTCAAGGCTTTAATTTTACAATATTGAAACCAGTAGATTGGTGATCTGTGATGCAAATGTAATACTATTGAGTCCTGTAGAAAATATGATGATGAGTGCATTTTTCTGCAGAAGATAGATACTTTAGAACTTGTAAGTAAACAAATATCTACACAAGATTCAACCAAGCGCAGAAGATTATTATATGCAGGATAGAGAGGATGGGCATCTGCAGCATCAGAATGGTAGGCAGGACTAGCTGATTGAAGCTTTACCTCCTATCATGTGCATCCATTGTGTACAATACAAGTTGAAAAGAGTGAGACTTCAGTCAGTCACACTCACCAATTTGGAATTGTTGATTCCATGAAAATGCTTCTGATAGTGAGCTGATGTGAGCAACATGTTGCAAAAATGACCAGATCAGCTTTCCTAGCATAATGTCTTCCAGATGTGTTTATGAGGACTGCATCTAAGCAGCAATAAAAATGAGGAAGGCTGGGCTGGTAGACTCTTTCAATAGTGAAGAGCAGGAGCTGAACAATCTTATAGTAACTTTTAAAAATGCCACTTAATACTGTAGGAGTTAACATTCACCATATTTGTGTGGCATATAGTAGAAATCCATGATGTTCATATAGCCACTACAGTAGGAATTATACATACATAGTAATAATGCTCTAATAACTATTCAGAACATCTAAAGAAGTCTTATGAATAGATAAGATATCATGGTTATACCAGTAGTTCTTGCTTGACAATAGTAATTGGGACTGGATTTTCCATCGCTGAACAATGTCATAAAGCATGAGGTTATGAGACTGCACCATTTAGTGACAGCAAATTGTGATTTCTGACTTCCTGCTGGCTTTCTCATTGACTTTGTTGTGGAAGCCAGCAGAGAAGGTTGCAGATTGTGATTTCATGAGCATAGGATGCTGCAATGGTCAAAAATCCAGGCTGGTTGCCAACTACCCAGATCACAATCATGTGACAGTGGGAGCCTTGCAACAGCTGGAACTTTGAGGACATGTTGTAACTACCACTTGTTTGGTGCCACCACTGTTCAAATTATCACTGAAGGAATGGTTGTTAAATGTGGACCCTCTGTACTATACAACATCACCATCTAGTGATGTTTTATTGCACTTGCATTATTCCTTTTCTCTGGGAACTGAAAGTTGCATATATGGACTTCTCCCTTAATTTTATCCTCACAGCAACATCCTTATGAAATGAGCTAAGTTGAGAAAATGACTATCTCCCAAACTCTGAGTTCTGTTGTTGAAAGGAGAGTTGAACTTCGATTGTTGTGATTTAAGTCCAATACTCTTAATTACACTACAGTATACTAGTTTTGTTGAAATGATCTTTTTCTAGCTGTTGTAAACTGATACAATCAGCAGTTTTGTATGATCACCAAAGACAAAAAATGCCTAACACTTTTTTTAAAGAACCAATGGCCATCTACTTTGCAGTACAAATCTTCAATCATTGTAACTGGAAATCGGAAGTAATGTTATAACCATTGAGAATTGTCACATGGGTTTCGACTTGGAATTTCAAGTACACATTTTTAAAAATCTGTGTTGTTGTTAATTGCGAAGTCGTGTCCGACCCGTCGCGACCCCATGGACAATGTTCCTCCAGGTCTTCCTGTCCTCTACCATCTTCTGGAGTCCATTTAAATTCACACCTACTGCTTCAGTGACTCCATCCAGCCATCTCATTCTCTGTCGTCCCTTTCTTCTATTGCCCTCAATCTTTCCCACCATTAGGCTCTTCTCCAGTGAATCCTTCCTTCCCATTAGGTGGCCAAAGTACTTGAGTTTCAACTTCAGGATCTGGCCTTCTAAAGAGCAGTCGGGGTTGATCTCTTCTAGGACTGACCGGTTTGAACGCCTTGCAGTCCAAGGGACTCGCAGGAGTCTTCTCCAGCACCATAGTTCAAAGGCCTCAATTCTTTGGCGCTCAGCCTTTCTTATGGTCCCAACTTTCACAGCCATACATTGCAATTGGGAAAACCATGGCCTGGACTATACGCACTTTTGTTGGCAGGGTGATGTCTCTGCTTTTTAGAATGCTGTCTAGATTTGCCATAGCTTTCATCCCCAGGAGCAAGCGTCTTTTAATTTCTTGGCTGCAGTCCCCATCTGAGGTGATCTTGGAGCCCAGAAAAATAAAATCTGTCACTACCTCCATTTCTTCCCCATCTATTTGCCAGGAATTGAGAGGGCCGGATGCCATGATTTTGGTTTTCTTAATGTTGAGTTTCAAGCCAACTTTTGTACTCTCCTTCTTCACCTGCATCAAGAGGCTCTTTAGTTCCTCTTCACTTTCTGCCATTAGAGTGGTATCATCTGCATAACTTAGATTGTTGATATTTCTCCCAGCAATCTTAATTCCAATTTTTGATTCATCTAGCCCTGCCTTTCTCATGATGTGCTCTGCATATAAGTTAAATAGGCAGGGTGACAGTATACAGCCTTGCCGAACTCCTTTTCCAATTTTGAACCAATCAGTGGTTCCGTGTTCGGTTCTCACTGTTGCTTCTTGACCCGCATATAGGTTTCTCAGGAGACAAATGAGATGGTCTGGTACTCCCATCTCTTTAAGAACTTGCCACAATTTGTTGTGGAGAAGTAGATGTTTTTCTGGAACTCCCTAGCTTTCTCCATGATCCAGCGTATGTTGGCAATCTGATCTCTAGTTCCTCTGCCTCTTCGAAATCCTGCCTGTACTTCTGGTACTTCTTGATCCACATACTGCTGGAGTCTAGCTTGTATGATTTTAAGCATAACTTTACTAGCATGTGAAATGAGTGCAATGGTGCGATAGTTTGAACTATCTGTAATTAACCTGATATAGAGAGATTACTGTGGATGGCTAAAAAAACCAGTGATTTGGATGAGAGATGCTTTTAAAAAAATATTTTTGCCTTAAATTCCAACTTTTAAATTTAATTACATTTTCATTAATAAAATTTCTTTGACTTTATATCATATCTTGTTCTTATTTAAGCATTGCATAAAACTTGACAGAATTTAAT